ATTTGTTGGATGTCAAACTCAGCCAAGAGCATAAGGTCAAACAGATTCCTCACTGGCCTTGCAGACAACTTCATTGTCCAGAAAGTGGGAGAAGCAACAAGAGGAACAGCCATTTTAGATCTGGTCCTAACCAATGTTGATGACCTGGTTAGTGGGGCAGAAGTGGAAGGATCATTAGTGATTATGCTCTTCTGAAGTTTACTATACAGCGGAAAGGAGCAGCCAAGCATACTAGGACTCAATTTCTTGACTTTAAGAATGTCGACTTCATAAAACTTAGGAAGTGCTGGGTGAGATCCCATGGTCAGTAATACTAAAAGGAAAGGGAGTTCATGATGGCTGGGAGTTTGTTAAGAGGAGATAGTAAAAGCACAACTTCAGGCAATACCAATGAGACGGAAACATGGAAGGTGCCTAAAGAAGCCAGGGTGGCTATCTAAAGAACTTTTAACTGAGTTAAGATTAAAAAGGATGTGTACAAAAATGGAAAAGGGGGGAAACCACCAAAGAGGAATTCAAACAAATAGCCAGCACATGTAGACACAAAGTCAGAAAAGCTAAAGCACAGAATGAACTCAGGCTTGCTAGAGAGGTTAAAAGCAACAAAAAAGGCTTTTATGGGTATGTCCGTAGCAAAAGGAAGAACAAAGAAACAGTGGGGTCACTCAGAGGAGAAGATGGTGAAATGCAAACAGGGGACACAGAAAGGGCTGAACTCCTCAATGCCTTCTTTGCCTCAGTCTTCTCCGATAAAGAAAACAATGCCCGACTGAAGAATTTGGAGCAAATGATTCAGCAGAGGAAACACAGCCCAGAATAACTAAGGAGATAGTACAAGAATACTTGGCTAGTTTAGATGTATTCAAGTCTCCAGGGCCAGATGAACTGCATCCAAGAGTATTAAAAGAACTGGCAGATGTGATCTCAGAACCACTGGCAGTCATCTTTGAGAATTCCTGGAGAACAGGCAAAGTCCCGGCAGACTGGAGGAGGGCAAATGTTGTCCCTATTTTCAAAAAGGGGAAAAGAGAGGACCCAAATAATTACCGCCCAGTCAGTCTGACATCAATACCAGGGAAGATTCTGGAGCAGATCATTAAGCAAACAGTCTGTGAGCACCTAGAAAGGAATGCTGTGATCACCAATAGTCAGCATGGATTTCTGAAAAATAAGTCATGTCAGACTAACCTGATCTCGTTTTTGACAGAATTACAAGCCTGGTAGATGAAGGGAACGCAGTGGATGTAGCCTACCTTGATTTCAGCAAGGCATTCGACAAGGTGCCCCATGATATTCTTGTAAAGAAGCTGGTAAAATGCGGTCTTGACTATGCTACCACTCAGTGGATTTGTAACTGGCTGACTGACCGAACCCAAAGGGTGTTCATCAATGGTTCCTCTTCATCCTGGAGAAGAGTGACTAGTGGGGTGCCACAGGGTTCTGTCTTGGGCCCGGTCTTATTCAACATCTTTATCAACGACTTGGATGATGGACTCAAGGGCATCCTGATCAAATTTGCAGATGACACCAAACTGGGAGGGGTGGCTAACACCCCAGAGGACAGGATCACACTTCAAAACGACCTTGACAGATTAGAGAACTGGGCCAAAACAAACAAGATGAACTTTAACAGGGAGAAATGTAAAGTATTGCACTTGGGCAAAAAAATGAGAGGCACAAATACAAGATGGGGGACACCTGGCTTGAGAGCAGTACATGTGAAAAGGATCTAGGAGTCTTGGTTGACCACAAACTTGACATGAGCCAACAGTGTGACGCGGCAGCTAAAAAGCCAATGCAATTCTGGGCTGCATCAATAGGAGTATAGCATCTAGATCAAGGGAAGTAATAGTGCCACTGTATTCTGCTCTGGTCAGACCTCACCTGGAGTACTGTGTCCAGTTCTGGGCACCACAGTTCAAGAAGGACACTGACAAACTGGAACGTGTCCAGAGGAGGGCAACCAAAATGGTCAAAGGCCTGGAAACGATGCCTTATGAGGAACGGCTAAGGGAGCTGGGCATGTTTAGCCTGGAGAAGAGGAGGTTAAGGGGTGATATGATAGCCATGTTCAAATATATAAAAGGATGTCATATAGAGGAGGGAGAAAGGTTGTTTTCTGCTGCTCCAGAGAAGCGGACACGGAGCAATGGATCCAAACTACAAGAAAGAAGATTCCACCTAAACATTAGGAAGAACTTCCTGACAGTAAGAGCTGTTTGACAGTGGAATTTGCTGCCAAGGAGTGTGGTGGAGTCTCCTTCTTTGGAGGTCTTTAAGCAGAGGCTTGACAACCATATGTCAGGAGTGCTCTCATGGTGTTTCCTGCTTGGCAGAGGGTTGGACTCGATGGCCCTTGTGGTCTCTTCCAACTCTATGATTCTAAGCCATAGCAGTAAAACAGAAAAATACTCAGGAAAGCTGGCCAACATGTAAAATACTTCTAAAAAATGAAGATTACCAAATAAAATTTAAAAACTTTGAGGAAATAAGAGAACACATTTCAGACTAGTTCCAATACCATCAGTTATTTGAAAAATTTAAATCTGACAAACAAAAGGGGTTCTCAACAGAAATTTCCCGATTCGAATCTGATCTTGTAAATTCTAAAAGAAAACTCTTTCCAAAACTTATCGACTCCTCCTTGCCTGGACAGTCAAGGAGGAGGAGGTAACAGTGGCAATGGTGAGGTGGTCCCAGGATTTTGGCCATTCAATAACCATGGCCCAATGGGAAAATTTATGGAAGATCAATTGGAAATTCACAAATTGTTACACGATTAGAGAGAACTTTCAAAAAATGCAACATCGATGGTATCTAACACCATGGAAACTTTCAAAAATGTATAAAAATGTATAAAAATGTGTCCAAAATTTTTGGAGATGCGGAGACTCAGGAACATTCTACCATATGTGGTGGATATGTAGGAAAATACAGGTATTCTGGGAGAGTATACATGCAGAACTGCAAAAAATGCTAAAGATCTCTTACAATACAAAACCAGAGGCCTACCACCTGGGAATAACAGATTTGGATATTCCACAAAAGAGGAAGGGTATCTTTTTATATGCGACGGCGGCAGCAAGAGTTTTGATCACAGCAAAATGGAAGAGTAATGAAATCCCCTCTATACAAGATTGGATCCAAAAGCTGACAGAATATGCCGAATTAGATGGTTTACCAGAAAAAATAAAGAATAAATCAAAACAGGAATTTGTTTCAAAATGGGAGGTTTTCAAAGAATATCTGAAAAATAAATATAGTAGTCTCAATTCTGTTGCAGCGTTCGAGGAACTTCAGTAATAGTTGCAAGGTAGATATAAGAAATTAGATTTATTGAGAATAAGTTTAATTATGATAAAAGTGTGTATTGGCAATAAGTAATATGAATTTGAAATATGGAATAGACGGGAGGTTGGGTCTTTAGTGTTAAGACCAATAGATGTTTTATTGTTTGCTAAGAAAATTATGTGTCTATGGTTATTTTTGTAATTTGTGTGTAATTTGGTATCTGTGGGTTTTTTTCTTTTTTCTTGTTGTATAAATAAAAAACTTTATTAAAAAAAAAAGGACACTACCTTTCTTGGTAGTGATGGCATGAAATACGTGAGTTTCTTTAATTGGAGAAGAGGAGAAGAATCAGATAAGATTTACATCCTACTTGCATTACACTGACCGTGAAACACCAAGACAGTGTGATGATCTGGGGTTGTATGGCAGCAAAAGGTGTGGGCAGAATTTGCGTCATTAATGGGAATATAAATGCGGAAAAATGCATAAACGAAATACGTGAGCCCAAACTGAAGTGTTCCGCAGGTGATCTTTTCCCAGATACTGAAGCATTTATATATTTTCAACAGGATTCAGCTCTATGTCGTGTTGCTGCTGTGTGCAAAAGGTGCTTTCAAGATAATGATATTTCACTGCTGGAATGGCCTGGGAATAGCCCACACTTTAACCCAATCAGAAATCTATGGAGCCGACTAAAGAAACTTGTTAGTCAGAAGCAACCCAGCAATAAAGCCCAATTAACAGAGGCAATAATTCAGTCTTGGTTTCACATTATTACAGCTGCAGAACTAAAAACTTGGTTCACTTCATGGGAAGGCGTTGTAAGGCCGTAATTAAAGCTAAAGGTTACCAATGGTTACACGTTTTTTCTTTATGACTGCTGTTCTAATAAATACTTCTTCATAAAATTCATTGCATTACATCCTTCATTAAATTATCTTTCCATTGCTATATAATTTTATGGTATTACTCCACACAAAAGTGGTGTTATGAGCCACCAAACCTCAGAAATACACTTTTCACAAAAGGTTTCCACAATTTCGGCCACTAGGAGAAGTTCATTTTAAAGTTAATGTTCTTTTTATATGGAATCAGATTATTATTATTATTTATGTTTCATTTTTATATGTGCGTTGGAAGCCGCCCAGAGTGGCTGGGGGAATGCAGCCAGATGGACAGGGTATAAATAAAAATTATTATTATTACTACAGTGGTACCTTGATTTAAGAACAGTCCTGTTCCAGAAAGTTTGTAAACCGAGGTACCACTGTATCATCATCACCACCACCACTGCTACTTCTACCTGAAATTCAATAAGCCTAGCTCTTCTCTGGGATGAATTTTGTTTGGCCCAGTCATGGCATCCCCTCCATCTCCAATGTCAGTCGTCTCTTTGGTCAACCCAAGACTGACAGGAGCAAAAACAAAAACAGAAAACCTGAAGCTACTTATCTTTCCTAACAATTCTGAAGCTGACATTTAAGATGGCCTGGGCAGTTGAAAGCAGCCCAATCGTGGTAGAAAAAGGAATAATTTGAGGAAGATTGTTCAAAGAAAAAACTGTAAGTTACTCTTTATTGTGGGAGTGTTAGGTTCCCAGGTGTTATAGGGGGCGCTGTTGAGCTCTGTGAAAATATGTGAGGTTGGTCTATAGACGTATTTTTTGAATTTCCAGGCAGATATGACGATCCCACAGGGAGCCTTACCAAGAGAGGCCACAATCCCACGATTCTCCTCCATAACGTCCTTATGCAGAGCTCTCTGGTCAGGATCCAGCAACACCCACTCCTCGTCCGTGAAACGAACAGCAACATCTTCAAAGCACACTGGACCCTAAAAGAAAAAGGGAAATGTCCTCCTCTGAGACAGCAGAAATATGATCTGCTCCACAATGCTCTGTGGTTTCCATCCTGTAAATTGCTGTGTTGTTTCAATAGGACTGTTTTGCAGCACATTTTAATTATGGATGCTTATTTTATTCTGCGTTTTAATTATGGGTATTTGTCTTTGTGCAAACAGGTGGTACTCCACATGTGGTTTTCAAATCATTCTGCCTACCCAAGCTTTCCAGTTTGCCTGATGGAAGGATCCACTTTCTCCTCTCCTCCTGAGCTCTTCTGGGGAGTTCCCTCCCAATGCCCTAGAGCCAAATTCAAGGGGTTCAGGGGAGCATGGAGCGGGGGACGGGGAGGATTGCTGGGCAGGTCCAATTTTGCAGTGGATGGGGCTGGTTAGTTGAATCCAGGCCACTATTTGTTCTCATTTGTCCACTGCTTAGAAACCAATTTTTGCATTCAGTTATCAATCTAGAAATAAAATAAGCCTCTTTTGGATGGCCATCTGTCTTGGATGATCTAGCAGAGATTCCTGCATTGCAGGGGGTCTCCTGGCTCTGAGAGACAAGCAGGGAGGGTGGCTTCTGGCAAAAGGAGAGGGAGCCATCAGTGGCTCTTCCTTCTCCTGATTCACATCAGCCTCTCGACCTTCCTCTCCCACTCACCTCCTTCCTCTTCTGCCTCTGATTCTGCGCTGCATTCTGCCACAGAATCTCCCAGCTCACTAAACCCTGTTACTTCTTCGGCTTCTGACATCTCCTCTTCCCAGACTTCTCCCTCTTCTCCCTCTGACCGCTCATCCTTCCTCCACCTCCACTCCTTCGGATCTGAGCCGTCTTCCTTTCCTGGTTCCCAGGCTGCTTCCTCCCACCGTTCCTCTGCGCCCAACCAGTCCATGACATTGCTCCATCCCTCGGCCTCTGTCCCCACAAGACAGCTTCCCCTGACCTGATCTGCTTCCACAGCCGCTGCTTCCCTTCTGTCCCCATGAAAAGGCGGATCAGGAGGTCTTGCCGGCATCCTTCTGCCACCTGCAAGAGAAAAAAGGTAAGCAGGACCCCAGGAGAGCCTGCTTCTCTCACAGGTGAAACAGGGCATCTCTAACTACAGATGGGCCTTTGAGAAAGACTTACCTACTGAGAGTATTTGGAGGTTTGTGCCCATTTCATATGTTTGTTTGTGCAGAAATACATCTCCCCTCCTCTGGACGATTCCTCCCAACTGTCTCCCCCGAAAACAAGATGAAAAGAACCCTCAGATGAGTTGGGAAACCAACAGAATGAGACCAGTGGAGAAAAACCACCTTCCTCCTTACCCAGTGGCCTCTCTCTGGTGTCCAACGGAGGCCTCTCTGCCTCACAGGAATCCAGGTCCATTTCTGCAAAGAGATCCTTTCCCTGAGAAAGAAACAAGGATTCAAAACAGAGAATGGGGAGAAATACTAGAAAGAGAATGACAAAGACTTCAAGGGTGCGAGATCTCATTCCATGGATGCTTTCCCAGAAAATGGGCCATCAGCAGACCATTATGGGATGTTCTCTGTCCTGTTTGGAGCCCCTTGGGAGTATCCAGAGGAAAGTCTCTCTCACCTGTTTACTCTGTTCCTGCTTTCTCTCCTCTGCCTGACTCAGGAGGAAACCTTCGGCCAGGGCCACCGCCTGCGAACTGGTCTCCGCTCCACAGTCCCTCACCCAGCTCTCCATCTCCGGGGGAAGGACAGCCAGGAAATGCTCCAAGATCACCAAGTCCAGCATCTCAGCTTTCGTGTGCCTTTCTGGCTTCAGCCACTGATGGCCAAGGTGGTAGAGTCGGCTGCAAACCTCTCGCGGTCCTTTGGCCTCCTGGCAGCAGAACTGCCTCAACTGCTGGCTCTGCACCTCTGAGCGGAGGGTGTCCACCTCACCATGGATCTTCTGCACAGAGTTTTCCCAGAATCCCCCACTGCTCCCAGTTTGGTTAGCATGGCCTCTTCCTGTTCCAGGGCCAGCTGAGTCTTGCTCATCCATCTGTGCTCTCAGGAAGCCTCTGAGAGATCAGAAGGAACCCTTTGGTCTTCTACCAAGTTCTGCCCGTCTAAATGAGAAGCTCTAGCAAATCCTACAAAGCAAATACATTGTTCTGTTACAGAATTTGTAGGACGGGGGGGGGGGGGGGAATGGTTCCCTGAGCAAGCATGACTGCACCACATCCCAGACCATGAGCTATCTTTTTGAAAGAGAAGAAACAAGTCTCTAGCCTTCTAGCAATGCAAAATGTGGAGGCAACTGAAGGGATTTCTGCGAGATTAATCAACCTGGTTTCTCCATCCTTCCAGTCAATTCATGACATTGGAACCTACTGACAAACGAGTTGTTTCTATCTTGTGATAAATGGATGCTTGGCTCTAGTGGGGGTCCTCAGGAGTTGCCCCCCACACCTACACCCACTCCGCTGCTTCCGTCTCCTTTTCTTGCACTTGGACTCTCTGCCACTCTCAGAATAGACTTCTGGGGCGGGGTCCCTTTTTCTTTGCTCTGAGGGCCAGGTATGTATCTGGCCAACCCCCTGAGGGCCAAGTGGGCAGGACCAAAGACATCTCCCTTGAAATTTAGGAGGGTAATTTTTTATTCTTATATTCTTCTTCTTCTTATTATTATTAACACACACACAGCCACTGATGCCAAGGTCCCTGGAGGCTCGGTGAGTAGGAGCGCCCGTTTCCAGGTGGTTTTCCAGCAACAATCGCTTTGGGGCAGAGAGGATGTGGTCCTGGGATGCCATGCTCTGGGTGCGAGGGGATTGCTGCAGTGGCCTCTGTGGGGAGCTGCCCTGGGAGACACTGGGAAACTGGTCTGCGATGCAGCAGCCAGACTCTGGGCTGGGATCCCTCTCTTTATTCCTGGCCTTTCTCTCCCACCCTTTCTTTTTTGGGGGGGGCTAGTCGTCCTCCTCGTCCAGCTTTGGAAAACCATTTGCACATGTTTCCTCTGTTGTGCAATGAGGCTGAGCGACGTCACACAGAGTTAAAGTCCCAGGGACTCCTTTGTTTAAAGAAGGGAGATTTCGTGGGAGTCAGGGATCCTCTGATCTGCAGGAAGGAGAGCGTGGCAGACCTGGCCCCTCCCTGGCAGGACCCTCTCCTCCCTGACTTGGGGTCCCCCCCCTGCATGAGCAGATCCGGCCCCCCAGGCACCCTCCCCTGCCCCAGCCCTGGGACCCCCACCAGATCCCAGAGAGAGAGGAGACTCACCAGATCCCAGGAGGGACAGCGAGGCAGCCCTTGCAGGAGAGACACCGAAGCAGGAAAGGACTGGGAGGGAGGGGCCTTGGCTCTGGAGGACCTGGCCCCCCCTTGCTTCCTGGCCTCTCTAGGAAGGCAGCTCACTTCCCTTTAACCCTTGCCAAGCCGAGTCCACCCGGCTCAGCCCTCTCTCGCTTGGCAGAACCTCAGATTTCTATTATTTTTTATGGATTTAGGGGGGCAGCTTCCCCCCCCCCGGCTACGCCAATGCCCAGATATCCTTTTGGGGGTGAGGCTCTTGGCTGGACTCTGAGCATCTCCCTCCCTTGGCCAGAAACCAGAGGAAGAGCTTGCAGGGAAAAGGGCTTTGCAGGAGGCAAGGAAGCTCCTCCTAGAATTCAGGAGTGGAGAGATAGGAGGGGATCCCAGGGTCATCTAGTCCAGCCCGAAGCAAGAGGGGGCCGGGTCTAGTTCCCTAAACAGGCAGCCCTGTTTAGGGAAGCTTTTAATGTTTAATAGGTTATTGTATTTTAGTGTTTGATTGGAAGCCGCCCAGAGTGGCTGGGGAAAGCTAGCCAGATGGGCGGGGTATAAATAAATTATTATTATTATTATTATTATTATTATTATTATTATTACAACCCCCAGCAATGCAGGAATCTCAGCTAAAGCATCCATGGCAGATGGCCGTCCGACCTCTCCTGAGAAACCTCCAAGGACGGAGAGTCCACCACCTCCCAAGGGAGACCTTTCCCTGCCCAACTGCTCTTAGATGTCCCTCAAGGCAGTGGATCCTGAGTTCTAGCCCTGCTGAAACCATTGCACTGGCTGCCAAGGAGGAACCATGCGAGGTTCAAAAGAAATAAATCCTATTCTCATCATAAATGAGTAATACTTTCTTATGCACACTTATGCACGCTACAAAAGTATGCCATTTCCCTTTCCAGAAATGCTTAATTGCTAATTGAATGGAATGAAAATGGATGGTTATTGTTATTATGTTTAGGGAAGCTTTTAATATTTGATGGACTATTGTATTTTAATATTTTATTGGAAGCCGCCCAGAGTGGCTGGGGAACCCAGCCAGATGGGTGGGGTATAAATAATAATTACTATTATTATTGTTATTATTATTACTATTAAAATTGATCAGGTGAGTGTTCTCCTTTTAAAAGAGGCAGGTGGAATCTCCACGGTTGCTAATAGCATAATGTTGAAAGTGCAGGGAAATATGGGGAGCCCTAGAGCATCTGCTTGGCATGCAGAATGTCCCAGGGTCAACCCCTGACATCTCCTGCAAGGGCTGGACAAAATCCCTGCCTGAAACTCTGGGGAGCTGCTGCCAGTCAGTGTAGACCAGGGGTCCTCAAACTATGTCCCGTGGGCTGAATCCAGCCCTCCAGGGTCGTGAATCTGGCCTGCACGACCATTTCAGAGCCCACCAAGTGTCCGAGGCTGAAAGCATCTCCCCCGCCCCTCAGTCAGTCCCTACATTGCGCGGAGGTAAATGCCACTAGAGTGGTGGCGGCTCTTCCAATGAAAGGCCAGGGGGTTTCACCCGGGGACAGGGAAGTGTTGTCTTTTGGCTGGAAGAGGGAAGTTCAGGTTGGTGGAGGAAGGCAGACTTGGGTCGATTAGGTTTCGTTACATAGACGTTTACTTTAAAGGTGGTAGAAAGAAGTATAGTCCTATTTCTGTAAGTGGCACAGGGGTCTTTCCACTCATGTGGTTTACATGCTCTGAGAGATGGGATCTGTTTGAAAGGGGAATCATCTGAGGGACTTCCTGTAAACATCTGGGTCGGGAATGCTGTTCCTGGAATGGACAAACACACAAGACGTAACCGGCTGTGCATTCACATAAACAATTTCTGAAGTAAAACCGTTTCTCTTATCTAATTTATACAATTCATTAATCTGGTGGTAATGTAGCCAATTTATTTTATCTTTAATTTGATCAAATAGTTTTAGTTTATATCCTTCTTTATCTTCCAGTAACAGATCAGAATATCTCAACCACTTGGTTTCCATATTTAACTTTTTCTGGGCCTTTGCCTCCATTGGCGAAAGCCATCTGCGTGTTTTCCTCTCTAACAGCTCTTTGTATTTTATCCAAACATCATATAATGATTTTCTAATTACATGATTTTTAAAACCATTATGGGTCTTTACCTTGTCATACCATAGATAAGCATGCTATCCAAACACATTGTCAAATCCCTCCAAATCTAAAACATCCGCATCATCTAGCTGTATCCATTCCTTAACCCTGCAAAGAGCTGCAGCCTCAAAATAAATTTTCAGATCTGGCAGGGAGAATCCCCTTCTTCCTTTTGAATCTTGGCTTGAAACAAAAACAACATCTTTGGCAATACATTCATCTTAACCACAGAAATCCGGCCCATTAATGACAATTTTAAATTCGACCAAATCTCTACATCTCTCTTGATTTCATTCCATAATGAATGAATTCCATAATATATTAGCAAAAAATTTATAATCCACATTAAGTAGAGAGATTGGTCTATATTTTTTTACATTAGATCTATCTTGATCTTGTTTTGGAATCAGAGAAATATAAGCTTCCTTCCAGGTTTCAGGTGCTCTGTCCCCTCCTATAATCTTATTGCAAACTTCTAGCAATGGCTGAATAAGCCAATCTTTCAGTGTCTTGTAATATTTTGCTGATAAACCATCTGGTCCCGGGGCCTTGCCAAGTTGCATTGAGTTTATTGCATTTTCCACCTCCTGTCTTGTAATTAGTCCATCTAGTAGGATCCTTTTTTTAAAAAAATAATATTTATTAAAGTTTCACAAAAAAAGAATCACATTAATAGAAAAGAAAAATTTAAGAATAAAAAGAAAAATACACAATACAAAATACAAAAGGAAAAAAAAAAAACCAGTTAAAAACAATTCTGTCTTTTCATGACTTCTTTTACGTTTACTTGTTTTCCGGACCTCCTCATACCTCCCTCTTTTGTATTCCAATTCAGTTTGTTAGTCCAGCAATTTCTTTCCCTCCTTTTTAATCCCAATCCTTAATCTTAATATATTATAACATTAAGTTTTTACCTATTAAAAACCAATTTTTCCATTCTTTTAACCTTTTTAATCCTAATCCTTAATCTTGATATATTTATAACTTTAAAACCTGTACAGCTAGAAGCCACTTAACTTCAATCCAACATCACTCTAACATTCATTAATTTTGCAATGTTTCTGTAAATAATCTTTAAATTTCTTCCAATCTTCTTCCACCGACTCTTCTCCCTGGTCACGGATTCTGCCAGTCATTTCCGCCAATTCCATGTAGTCCATCATTTTCATCTGCCATTCTTCCAGAGTGGGTAGATCTTGTGTCTTCCAATACTTCTTGGGAGAAAAGCGATGACAAACCTAGACAGCATCTTAAAAAGTAGAGACATCACCTTGCCAACAAAGGTCCGTATAGTTAAAGCTATGGTTTTCCCAGTAATGTATGGAAGTGAGAGCTGGACCATAAAGAAGGCTGATCGCCAAAGAATTGATGATTTTGAATTCTGGTGCTGGAGTAGACTCTTGAGAGTCCCATGGACTGCAAGAAGATCAAACCGATCCATTCTTTTTTTATTTTTTTAAAAATAAATGAATTTTATTAGTATTTTCCACACAACAACAACAACATGGAAGATATCAAAAGATAACAATACACAACACACAAAAATCAACATTCGAAAACTAAAAAAGACAACAAAAACAAAACAACAAACAAATCCATATTTTACAGGTTAATATTATAAACACTAAAACATTGACATCCACCAATCCCACAGCAGCTCCTTTATCTCTCATTCTGTGTTCCTGTTTTCCTACTTTCTTTATCCTCTCTATCCTAACATCTAGATATAAATCCTTCTTTCATATCATTTCACTTCACAAGGTTATTCCAGACTCAGCCAGATTTCTGCCCTCGAACCTTGATTTTTGAGGTATTCATTTAGGCACTCCTATTCTTTTTTTACTTCACTTTTTGGTTTTTGTCTTATTATATCTGTCAATCTGGCTAATTCTAAGTATTCCGAGAGCTTACTCCCCTAGTGGGTAACTGATTCCCTTTCCAGTACTTAGCCACCAGGATTCTTGATGCAGACGTTGCGTATAAGAAAAAAAATAGTTTTGTCTTTTGGAATATCATCATTTAAAATTCCTAAAAGGAATGCCTCTGGCCTTTTACTATATGATATTCTTAATATTTTCTTTATTTCTTCATGGATCATGCTCCAACATTTCCCAGTTTCGGGGCATGTCCACCACATATGGTAGAAGGTTCCTTATCTTGCATCTCCAGCACTTATTATTATATGTTTTATTCATTTTTGCAAGCCTTTCTGGTGCCGTGTACCACCTGTGATACATTTTCATATAGTTCTCTCTTATTAGGTAACATGCTGTAAAATTTATATTTTTTGTCCATAGTCTTTCCCATTCATTATATTCAATTGGGTGGCCCTGTGCTGGAGGCGACTCTTGAGAGTCCCATGAACTGCAAGAAGATCAAACCTATCCATTCTTAGGGAAATCAGCCCTGAATGCTCACTGGAAGGACAGATCCTGAAGCCGAGGCTCCAATACTCTGGCCACCTCATGAGAAGAGAAGACTCCCTGGAAAAGACCTTGATGTTGGGAAAGATGGAGGGCGCAAGGAGAAGGGGACGACAGAGGACGAGATGGTGGGACAGTGTTCTCGAAGCTACCAGCATGAGTTTGACCAAACTGCAGGAGGCAGTGGAAGACAGGAGTGCCTGGCGTGCTCTGGTCCAGGGGGTCACAAAGAGGCGGACACGACTAAACGACTAAACAACAAAATATGAGAGTGACCTAAAAATTCTTATAACAATTCCCCCCCCTTGGGGTATAATATGTCTAAAACATTGTTGCCCCACAAATAAGAACCTGGTATGTTATAAATGGATGCCTTCATGTAAATCTTAGGAGACTTGCATGTCAGGCCTCTTAAGGCTATTTGCAAGTGTAGCAGTGCACATAGCTGGACATAGGATATCACATAAAAAATAACACATGTTGCATTTACACTTAGCGGGAAGGTCAAATAATGAGTGAAAAATGCAGTTTGTTTTGTTTCTGCCTTTTTTGTGTGTTCCCAGGTGTCAAAGCTAGCTCTCCTCTGGTCTCACGCCTCCATCATATCACAGCAGCAACAATCCCTGGTGAATCCCTGTAGGGCTTTCATATTGACCATGTCACCTTGTAGTGGCACAGGGTTGCACATTTCTTGAGAGAGATGTCTTTGCCTTGGCCTTTCTATCGGATTTTTATTATAATAGGCTCTGGTCTTCCACTCTAGGGAAGTTGCTCAGTTGTTCCTAAGGGACCAAAAAGCTAACTGCAGCCTGGATACACTTGCCCAATTCCAACGGAGTCCAATTAGAATTTATATAGCCCCATGGTTCTCAACTTTTCAAACCAATCTGTGAAAAACCAATTTGAAATGGACAGTTGTTCAAATTAGTCAATTTAACTCTATCAGGGACCATTCCTGCTAAATCAAAGCACATACACCTTCATGTATCTGCTGTTTAATGGATCCTGAAGCTGGGTAGAGAGGGTTGGCACACTGCAGAGTGCCAGGTGGAACAAGAAAATGTGGTCCTAAATTGATCTAATCTAAATACTGGACTACGCAATAGCCTGATCTATTAGAAAGCTTAAAATGCATGAGCATCCTCCATTGGGACCCAAAGAATTTGCAGATACAAAAGGAAATTAAAGCTTTACAGACTCAATATTCACAGATTATTAATCAAGAAATAGAATGGAAACTAAGGAGGATGAGACAAAGGAATTTTGAATCTGCAAATAAATGTGGGAAACTTCTAGCTTGGCAATTAAAAAAGAGGCAAAAACAAAGCACTAAATGCTTGAGCATCCTCCAAGCATGGGGTGTAGGCAATAAGACACTATACATTGAACATTGAACATATAAACAATTATACACAAAAATTGAGTCCCCCTTTGTGGAAATAACATAGTCAGACACATGTTAGCATTCCTACATAATATCACACAACACACAACATACTAATTAAATATCAGTTGCATATCTTGAGGGGGCAGAACTTTTGGAACTTAAAGACAAAGTTATAAAGGTAAGAGGTAAAAGCCAAAAAGGGGAGAATCTCCTTGAGTTTTCCTGTTGTTGTTGATTAGTTTAGTCGTGTCCGACTCTTCGTGACCCCATGGACCAGAGCACACCAGGCACTCCTGTCTTCCACTGCCTCCCGCAGTTTGGTCAAACTCATGCTGGTAGCTTCAAGAACACTGTCCCACCATCTCGTCCTCTGTCTTCCCTTCTCCTTGTGCCCTCCATCTTTCCCAACATCAAGGTCTTTTCCAGGGAGTCTTCTCTTCTCATGAGGTGGCCAAAGTATTGGAGCCTCAGCTTCACGATCTGTCCTTCCAGTGCACACTCAGGGCTGATTTCTTAAGAATGGATGGGTTTGATCTTCTTGCAGTCCATGGGACTCTCAAGAGTCTCCTCCAGCACCATAACTCAAAAGCATCAATTCTTCGGCGATCAGCCTTCTTTATGGTCCAGCTCTCACTTCCATACATCACTACTGGGAAAACCATGGCTTTAACTATATGGACCTTTCTTGGGAAGCTGCAAACACTAAAAATCTTAGTGAGTTAAGCATTTTATTCATTTCAATATTAATACCACATTTCCATATAATTTCTACTGTTATTATCTGGTAAAATACAAAAAAAGTAAAAATATAAAAAGAAAACAAAAGTAAAAATGGGCTTCATGGGTGGTCCATGTTCATATGTAGTCATGGAACTTGCCCTCCTGGACTTCATCCGTTGCACGTATTCTAAGTAACAGAAGTGAGTGCAATGTCGTAATTCAACATATTTTAACAAATTAACAAACCTGTGTATGGATAAAGTTTGTTTTACATTTGTTGTTTGAAAAGGGTCACTTTAAGAAGAAAACCTTACAGCTGCAGATTGCTGTCACTTGTAACTAAAATCAATGCTGCGCCTGTCTATATCATCTTACATTGTGACAGTTGTTGTTCACTGCAGAAACCACTATGTTATAAGTTCCATTATCTTGATACTTCATATATTGTATGTACTCTTATAGCACAATTGTTTATATAATTTTAATTTGTTAAAATATGTTGAATTACGACATTATATTTGAAATATACTCAGGAGTCGAGAGTGGATTTCATGCTCTTTATTCAGCTCATAGTGGTGAGGAAGAATGAAAGTCCCCTCAAAGTATCTGCTTTATATACATTATTTACACAATGGGCTGCACGTGATTGGCTAATTCCGGAATTCTCCTGTAGGCCAATCAGGTTGTGGATTCACTTCCACCTGGAGCTGGATTGGGTGGCTCCTGCAGACCAATCATACTGCTGCATTGTTCTAGGACCAATCAGACTGCTGCATTTGGATCCTATTCAACTCAGTACATAACAATATTCCTTTATATTACTTAGAATATGTACAATGGATGAAGCTCATGAGAGCGAAACAAGGCATTATTCCGGAAATCCTTGTCAACAATGTGGAACTTGTAGTAGTCCCCAATTTGGACTTTATGAACATATGTGGAACAGAAACTAGCAGACATTTGGTCTTTATGAATGAACTGATTTATTGGGACTTCCATCTATATTATTGCACTTTATGTGTTGTTTATGTGCAAGATAAACCTTTGGACTGGGAAAAGTTTGTAGAGTATCTGAAAAACGTGTGTGATGTGCAAACAACGCTAGTGGGGTCTCAAGAAGCACTGTAAAAGTTAAGATGTATTGTCAAAAAGAAATAGAAGGGGGAGGGAAGACAAATGGCAATATAACGAAGGGAATGCGTACTAAAGAATAACTATGGATGATTACCAGAGCAGCTGAAGGAAGATCCAAAAAAGATTTAATTTGTCAAAATGTGGATAAAACTGTATAATTTTGTTGGAAAATTAATAAAAAATTATTTAAAAAAAAAACAACCTTTGATATTGTGATAAGAATAGATAGAAGATTATTGTTTATGTGAATGCACAGCCGGTTACGTCTTGTGTGTTTGTCCATTCCAGGAACGGCATTCCTGACCCAGATGTCCACAGAAAGTCCGTAAGACGATTCCCCTTTCAAACAGGATACGTGAGCCTAGGCCAGTAGGGTCCTCCTCTCTGGCAAACCCCTCCCTCCCCCACTTCCCCATGGGGGTGCCCCACATCACCCATCACTCACCAGGATGGTTTTGAATCACCTCCAGCAGGTACAGCTCAGCTTCCAACAAAATATTAAAATACAATAGTCCATCAAATATTAAAGCTTCCCTAAACAGAATAACAACAACCATCCATTTTCAGTCCAATGAATTAGCAATTAAGCATTTCTACAAAGGGAAATGGCAGAAAAAAGCATAAAAAGCATACATAAGAAAGTATTACTGATTTATGATGAGAATAGGATTTATTTATTTTGAACTTCGCATGGTTCCTCCTTGGCAGCCAGTGCAATGGTTTCAGCAGGGCTAGAACTCAGGACCCGCTGCCTTGAGGGACATCTAAGAGCAGTTGGGCACAGATCGGACGGCCATCTGCCATGGATGCTTTAGCTGAGATTCCTGCATTGCTGGGGTTGGACTAGATGACCCTGGGATCCCCTCCTATCTCTCCACTCCTGAATTCTAGGAGGAGCTTCCTTGCCTCCTGCAAAGCCCTTTCCCCTGCAAGCTCTTCCTCTGGTTTCTGGCCAAGGGAGGGAGATGCTCAGAACCCAACCAAGAGCCTCACCCCCAAAAGGATATCTGGGCATTGGCGTAGCCGGGGGGGGGGGCAGCTGCCCCCCTAAATGCATAAAAAAAAATAAGAATCTGAGGTTCTGCCAAGCGAGAGAGGGCTGAGCTGGAGGGACTCGGCTTGGCAAGGGTTAAAGGGAAGTGAGCTGCCTTCCTAGAGAGGCCAGGAAGCAAGGGGGGGCCAGGTCCTCCCGAGCCAAGGCCCCTCCCTCCCCAGTAATTTCCTGCAAGAAAGTGGGGGTGTTGCTTTGTGTCTCTGCTGCAAGGGCTGCATCGCTGCCCCCTCCTGGGATCTGGTGAGTCTCCTCTCTCTCCCCCAAGAGGGTGCAGTGGGGAGACGGGGGCGGGCAGGGCTGCAGCAGGGGAGGGGGCCTGGGGCGCCTGATCTGCTCCTGCAGGGGGGGGGACCCCAAGTCAGGGAGGATAGGGTCCTGCCAGGGAGGGGCCAGGTCTGCCACGCTCTCCTTCCTGGAGATCAGAGGATCCCAAACTCATTTGGCCTTTCAGAAGAAAATGACTCTCACGAAATCTCCCTCTTTTAAAAAAAGGAGTCCCTGGGATTTAACTCTGTGTGACGTCGCTCAGCGTCATTGCACAACAGAGGAAACATGTGCAAATGGTTTTCCAAAGCTGGACGAGGAGCTGGACTAGCCCCCCCCCAAAAAAAAACCCCACAGGGAGGAAGGAAGTTAAGGTGGGAGAGAAAGGCCAGGAATAAAGAGAGGCAGCCCAGCCCATAGTCTGACTGCTGCATCGCAGACCAGTTTCCCAGTGTCTCCCAGGGCAGCTCCCCACGGAGGCCACTGCAGCAATCCCCTCGCACCCAGAGCAGGGCATCCCAGGACCACATCCTCTCTCTGTCCCAAAGGGATTGTAGCTGGAAAAGCAGCCGGAAATGGGCGCTGCTACTCACTGAGCCTCCAGGGACCTTCGCATCAATGGCTGTGTGTGTGTTAAGCTGTATAACAGAATAATAGTAATAAATTGCCCACCTGAATTTCAAGTGAGATGTATTTGGCCCCGTCCACTTGGCTCTCTGGGGTTTTCCAGATACATACCTGGCCCTAAGAGCAAAGAAAAAGGGACCCCACCCCAGGAGTCTGTCTGAGAGGCAGCAGAGGGGCAGAGTCTGAGAGGGGCAGAGAGTCCAAGTGCAAGAAAAAGAGACAGAAGCAGGGGAGTGGGGTGGGGGCAACAACTCCAGAGGACCCCCACTAGAGCCAAACATCCATTTATCACGAGATACAAATGACTCCTTTGTCATTCGGTTCTGACTTCATGCATTGACTGGAAGGAAGAAGAAACCAGGTTGATTAATCTCGCAGAAATCCCTTCAGTTGCCTCCACATTTTGCATTGCTAGAAGGCTAGGGACTTATTTCTTCTCCTCTTCCTCCTCCTTTTCAAAAAGATAGCTCATGGTCTGGGATCCGGTGCAGTCCAGCCCTGGTTTCCAGCAAGACTCAGGGAACCATCCCCCCCCCCCTACAAATTCTGTAACAGAACAATGTATTTGCTTTGTAGGATTTGCTAGAGCTTCTCATTTAGACGGACAGAACTTGGCAGAAGACCAAAGGGTTCCTTCCGATCTCTCAGAGGCTTCCTGAGAGCACAGATGGATGAGCAAGACTCAGCTGGCCCTGGAACAGAAAGAGGCCATGCCAACCAAACTGGGAGCAGTGGGGGGTTCTGGGAAAACTCTGTGCAGAAGATCCATGGTGAGGTGGACACCCTCCGCTCAGAGGTGCAGAGCCAGCAGGTGAGGCAGTTCTGCTGCCAGGAGGCCAAAGGACCCCGAGAGGTTTGCAGCCGACTCTACCACCTTGACCATCAGTGGCTGAAGCCAGAAAGGCACACGAAGCTGAGATGCTGGACCTGGTGATCTTGGAGCAGTTCCTGGCTGTCCTTCCCCCGGAGATGGAGAGCTGGGTGAGGGACTGTGGAGCGGAGACCAGTTCCCAGGCGGTGGCCCTGGCCGAAGGTTTCCTCCTGAGTCAGGCAGAGGAGAGAAAGCAGGCAGAGAGAAAGCAGGTGAGAGAGACGTTGCTCTGGATACTCCCAAGGGGCTCCAAACAGGACAGAGAACATCCCATAATGGTCTGCTGATGGCCCATCCTTTTTCTGGGAAAGCATCCATGGAATGAGATCTCGTACCCTTCAAGTCTTTGCCATTCTCTTTCTAGTATTTCTCCCCATTCTCTGTTTTGAATCCTTGTTTCTTTCTCAGGGAAAGGATCTCTTTGCAGAAATGGACCTGGATTCCTGTGAGGCAGAGAGGCCTCCGTTGGACACCAGAGAGAGGCCACTGGGTAAGGAGGAAGGTGGTTTTTCCCCATTTGGTCCCATTCTGTTGGTTTTCCAACTCATCTGAGGATTCCTTTCATCTTGTTTTGGGGATAGATGGTTGGGAAGAAGGATCCAGAGGAGGGGAGATGTATTTCTGCACAAACAAACATATGAAATGGGTACAAATGTCCAAATACTCTCAGTAGGTAAGTCCTTCTCAAAGGCCCATCTGTAGTTAGAGATGCCCTGTTTCACCTGTGAGAGAAGCCGGCACTCCTGGCATCCTGCTTACCTTTTTTCTCTTGCAGGTGGCAGAAGGATGCCGGCAAGACCTCCTGATCCGCCTTTTCATGGGGGCAGAAGGGAAGCAGCGGCTGTGGAACCAGATCAGGTCAGGGGAAGCTGCCTTGTGGGGACAGAGGCCGAGGGATGGAGCAATGTCATGGACTGGTTGGGCACAGAGGAGTGGTGAGAGGATGCAGCCTGGGAACCAGGAAGGGAAGATGGCTGAGAGCCGAAGGAGTGGAGGTGGAGGAAGTATGAGCGGTCAGAGGAGGAAGAGGGAAAAGACTGGGAAGAGGAGGTGTCAGAAGCTGAAGGGGTTACAGGGCTTAGTGAGCTGGGAGACTCTGTGGCAGAATGCAGTGCAGAATCAGAGGCAGAAGAGGAAGGAGGCGATTGGGAGAGGAAGGTCGAGAGGCTGAGGTGAGTCAGGATAAGGAGGAGCCACCGATGGCTCCCTCTCCTTCTGCCAGAAGCCACCCTCCCTGCTTGTCTCTCAGAGCCAGGAGATGAAAATAGGCTTATTTTAATTAATCACTGAATGCTAAAACTGTTTTCTAAGCAGTGGACAAACGAGAACAAATAGTGGCCTGGGTTCACCTAACCAGCCCCATAAGATGAAAAATGGGGCCTGCCCCCCATTCCTTCCCTTCCCCCTCTCCATGCCCCCCTGAACCCCTTGAATTTGGCTCTAGGGCATTGGGAGGGAACCTTCCCAGAAGAGCTCACAAGGAGAGGAGAAAGTGGATCCGTCCATTGAGGAAACTTGAATGTTTGGGTAGGCAGAATGACTTGGAAAACACAAGGTGGAGTACCACCTATTTGCACAAAGACAAATACCCATAATTAAAACACAGAATAAAATAAGCACCCATAATTAAAATGTGCAGCAAAGCAATCCTATTGAAACAACACTGCAATTAACAGGAAGGAAACCACAGAGCATTGTGGAGCAGATCATATTTCTGCTGTCTCAGAGGAGGACATTTCCCTTTTTCTTTTAGGGTCCAGTGTGCTTTGAAGATGTCGCTATTCATTTCACGGACGAGGAGTGGGCGTTGCTGGATCCTGACCAGAGAGCTCTGCATAAGGACGTCATGGAGGAGAATTGTGGGATCGTGGCCTCTCTTGGTAAGGCTCCGTGTGGGATTGTCATATCTGCCTGGAAATTAAAAAAATACCTCTATGGACCAACCTCATATATTTTCACAGAGCTCAATAGTGGCCTCTATAACACCTGGGAACCTAACACCCCCACAATAAAAAGTAACTTACAGTTTTTTCTTTGAACAATCTTCCTCAAATTATTCCTTTTTCTACCACGATTGGGCTGCTTTCAACTGCCCAGGCCATCTTAAATGTCAGCTTCAGAATTGTTAGGAAAGAGAAGTAGCTTCAGGTTTTCCGCTTTTGTTTTTGCTGCTGTCAGTCTTGGGTTGACCAAAGAGACGACTGACATTGGAGATGGAGGGGATGCCATGACTGGGCCAAACAAAATCCATGCCAGAGAAGAGCTAGACTTATTGAATTTCAGGTAGAAGTAGCGGTGGTGGTGGTGGTGGTGATGATAATAATAATAATAATAATAATAATAATAATAATTTATTATTTATACCCCGCCCATCTGGCTGAGTTTCCCCAGCCACCCTGGGCGGCTTCCATAGAAACCAAAAATACTCTAAAATATCACACATTAAAAACTTCCCTGAACAGGGCTGCCTTAAGATGTCTTCTGAATGTCAGGTAATTGTTTATCTCTTTGACATCTGATGGGAGGGCGTTCCACAGGGCGGGCGCCACTACCAAGAAGGCCCTCTGTTTGGTTCCCTGTAGCCTCACTTCTCGCAATGAGGGAACCGCCAGAAGGCCCTCGCCGCTGGATCTCAGTGTCCGGGCTGAACGATGGGGGTGGAGACGCTCCTTCAGGTATACTGGACCGAGGCCATTTAGGGCTTTAAAGATCAGCACCAACACTTTGAATCGTGCTCGGAAACATACTGGGAGCCAATGCAGATCTCTCAGAACCAGTGTTATGTGGTCCCGGCGGCCACTCCCAGTCACCAGTCTAGCTGCCGCATTCTGGATTAATTGCAGTTTCCGGGTCACCTTCAAAGGTAGCCCCACGTAGAGCGCGTTGCAGTAGTCCAAGCGTGAGATAACTAGAGCATGCACCACTCTGGCGAGACAGTTCGCGGGCAGGTAGGGTCTTAGCCTGCGTACCAGGTGGAACTGGTAGACAGCTGCCCTGGACACAGAGTTAACCTGCGTTCCATGGACAGCTGTGAGTCCAAAATGACTCCCAGGCTGCGCACCTGGTCCTTCAGGGGCACAGTTACACCATTCAAGACCAGGGAATCCCCCACACCAACCCGCTCCCTGTCCCCCAAAAACAGTACTTCTGTCTTGTCAGGATTCAACCTCAATCTGTTAGCCGCCATCCATCCTCCAACCGCCTCCAGGCACTCACACAGGACCTTCACCGCCTTCACTGGTTCTGATTTAAAGGAGAGGTAGAGCTGGGTGTCATCTGCACACTGATGAACACCCAGCCCAAACCCCCTGATGATCTCTCCCAGCGGCTTCATATAGATATTAAAAAGCATGGGGAGAGGACGGAACCCTGAGGCACCCCACAAGTGAGAGCCCAGGGGTCTGAACACTCATCCCCCACCACCACTTTCTGGACACGGCCCAGGAGGAAGGAGCGGAACCACTGTATGACAGTGCCCCCAGCTCCCAGCCCCTCTAGACGGTCCAGAAGGATGTTATGGTCGATGGTGTCAAAGGCCGCTGAGAGATCCAGCAGAACTAGGAAACAGCTCTCACCTTTGTCCCTAGCCCGCCGGAGATCATCGACCAGCACGACCAAGGCGGTTTCAGTCCCATGGTGAGGCCTGAATCCCGATTAGAAGGGATCCAAATGGTCCGCTTCCTCCAGGCATGCTTAGAGTTGTTCAGCAACCACCCACTCAATCACCTTGCCCAAGAATGGTAGATTTGAGACTGGGCGATAGTTGGCCAAATTGGCCGGGTCTAAAAATGTTTTTTTAAGAAGCGGTTTAATGACCGCCTCTTTCAGCGGGTCTGGGAAGGCTCCCTCACAGAGGGAAGCATTCACCACCCCGCAGAGCCCATCGCCCAGCCCTTCCCGACTAGCTTTTATACGCCAGGATGGGCAAGGATCAAGGAGACAGGTGGTCGGTTTCACCTGTCCAAGCAGCCTGTCCACATCCTCGGAGGTAACAGATTGGAAATCATCCCATGTAACAGGACCAGACAGATCTCTAGCACTCTCCCGCCCTGGCCCTGCTCCCACGGTGGAGTCTACCTCCTTCTGAATCTGAGCGACTTTATCTGCAAAAAACTTTGCAAAAGCATTGCAGGAGATCTTGGGGTCCCTACCAGGCCCCGGTGGTGCAGGTGGTTCCGATAGATTCCGAACCACCTGAAAAAGTTTCCTGCTGTTTTCTGCAGATGCAATGGAGGCGGCGAAGAAGACCCTCTTCGCCGTCGCCATTGCCACTTGGTAGGCTCGGTGTTTAGCTCTAGCCCGTGCCCGGTCTGATTCAGAATGAGTTTTCCGCCACCGGCGCTCTAGCCATCTCATCGATTGTTTCATCACCCTCAGCTCCGGGGAAAACCACGGGGCTGTCCAGGGTCCATGCAATCGGAGAGGGCGCTTCGGAGCCAGACAGTCCATAGCCCTGGTTAACTCCACATTCCAGCGGGCCACCAGGGAATCAGCTGAAAGGCCATCAACTTGGGATAAAACATCCCCTACCACTCTCTGGACGCCAATTGGATCCATTCAGTGGCGGGGGCGGACCATCCGAATCGGTCCCACCTCCCTGCAGAGGGGAAGGGTTGCGGAGAAGTCCAGTTGCACCAGGAAGTGATCTGACCATGGCACTTCTTTTGTTTCACTTTTAGTTAATGTCAGATCACCAACATCCATAGAGGTGAACACCGAGTCTAAGGCATGTCCGCGGCTATGAGTTGGGCCAAACTTATTCAGGGACAGCCCCATGGAGGCCATGCTTTCCACGAAGTCCCGAGTGGCCCCTTGTAAGGTTGTGTCGGCATGGATGTTAAAATCCCCCAGGACAACCAAGCTAGGTTTCTCCAGGAGAACATCCGCCACGACCTGAAGCAGCTCGGGCAGGGAATCCTTGGTGCAGCGGGGAGGTCGGTACACCAGTAGGAATCCTGTACTGCCCCTATTGCCCAACTTCCAGAACATGCACTCAGAAAACTGGGTCTTCCCAATAGGACGCCTGGTGCAGACTAATGACTTACTAAAAATCACTGCAACCCCCCCCCCCCGCCCACATGACCTGGGTTGCTGTGCGTAAGAGACGCCTGGTGGGCAAGCAGCGGCAAGGACAGGCCCATCTGCTTCATCCAACCAGGTCTCTGTCACACATGCCAGGTCAAATCCTCCATCCACAATCAGGTCGTGGATGGCAGTGGTTTTATTCATCATTGACCTGGCATTGCACAGCAACACTTTCAGGTCATGTGGGTTTCCCCTGTTGATTCCAGTATCCATCCGGTCAAGGCCAGACCTGGAGGCAGGGATAGTCCTCAGACAACGACTAAACCTGCCTCCTCGGTAATGACATGGTCTGGTCTTAGCATAACTCCTCCTCCTGCCCGTGATCACTGAGATCGGGTGTCCCAATACATCCCCCCCCATGGAACCTGCCCCAGCCAATCTATTGGCTGAGGCCCACTCCCAGGCAGCCATGACCCTTCCCCTTAAAAAGCAAAATACAAACTATGTAATAACTTAACAGAATAATAATAATAATAATTAAAAAAAAAAAAAACCAAAGCAAGAAACAATAGCGCTCAAATTAAACTACTCCCCACCCTAACTAAATGCTTATCCTACCCCAAGCAAAAATAAAATAATGAAATAATATAATATAATAAAAAGCAACAACCACCATTTAAAGTGCTGTAAATTAAAAGCGCTTAAAACATTTAAAACCACTTTGTCCCTTGCTGCAGGTAGCTGCTCAGGCCTCTAAACTGTAGTGGTAAGTGCAGGCCCCGCCCCCTAGGCCAGATGGAGTTGGCAGGAGAGGGAGCTGTCCTCCCAACACCCACGCGAGCAGCAGCAGCAGTGTCCCGGAGGCCTTGATGGAGGCCCTCAAGCTGTGGCGGTGAGTGCAGGTCCCGCCCCCTAGGCCAGATGGAGTTGGCAGGAGAGGGAGCGGTCTTCCCAGCACTCACACAAGCAGCAACAGCAGTAGTCACAATGATGATGATGATGATACAGTGGTACCTCGGTTTACAAACTTAATCTTTTCCAGAAGAGGACTGTTCTTAAATCAAGGTACCACTGTAGTAATAATAATAATTTTTATTTATACCCTGCCCATCTGGCTGAGTTGCCCCAGCTACTCTGGGCGGCTTCCAACACACATATAATCATGAAACATAAATAGTAATAATCTGATCCCATATATAAAGAACATTAACTTTAAAATGAACAACTTCTACTAGTGGCCAAAATTGTGGAAACCTATTTTGAAAGGTGTATTTCTGAGGTTTGGTGGCTCATAACACCACTTTTGTGTGGAGTAATACCATAAAATTATATAGCAATGGAAAGATAATTTAATGAAGAAAGTAATGCAACGACTTTTATGAAGGAGTATTTATTGGAACAGCAGTCATAAAGAAGAAACGTGAAACCTTTGGTAACCATTGGTAACCTTTAGCTTTAATTACGGCCTTACAACGCCTTCACTTGAAGTGAACCAAGTCTTTAGTTCTGCAGCTGTAATAATGGGAAACCAAGACTGAATTATTGCCTCTGTTAATAGAGCTCTATTGCTGGGTTGCTTCAGTATAACAAGTTTCTTTAGTCGGCTCCATAGATTTCTGATTGGGTTAAAGTGTGGGCTATTCCCAGGCCATTCCAGCAGTGAAATATCATTATCTTGAAAGCACCTTTTGCACACAGCAGCAACACGACATAGAGCTGAATCCTGTTGAAATAGAATATATTATATATATATATATATATATATATATATATATATATATAAATGCTTCAGTATCTGGGAAAAGATCACCTGCGGAACACTTCAGTTTGGGCTCAAGTATTTCGTTTATGCATTTTTCCGCATTTATATTCCCATTAATGACGCAAATTCTGCCCACACCTTTTGCTGCCATACAACCCCAGATCATCACAGTCTGGGTGTTTCACGGTTGGTGTAATGCAAGTAGGATGTAAATCTTCTCTGATTCTTCTCCTCGCGTATTTCATGCCATCACTACCAAGCAAGGAGATTTGGGTTTCATCGCTCCAAATAACACTGTCCCATTATTCCGCTGTACTGTTAACATGGGTTTCATCTTTTCAACCTTTGTTGGAGAGATAACAATGGTTTTTTCCTTAGAATTCTAACATTTAGACCAGACTTGCACTCAACTTCCCATTACATTGCACCATATCGTCTTGTATACACCCAGATGATTTTCTTCTGTCATGTAGGCACAGTCTCTCCATTCTTCAATTGCCAGCTTTGGTTTAGTTTTTCCCAATTTTTCATCTAACTTCTTCATAACTGTAGCCTTGTTCACTTAATAGTACAATTTTACATCACTTTCTCGGTGACCAGTCAACTCTTTGTACCATTTCTTTAATTTGATTATGTTTTTCAACCTCACTAAATGACCAACTTGATAGCAATCACATAACACACTGACAAAAGTCAACCTAAGCAAGTTGTGCTTCTTTTTTCTGGTTATTTGGCTATAAGGTTTGATAGAATATGAACAAACTTTGTTTGATTGCATTGTTGATTGCATTCTTGATCAAATTATCTTTCCATTGATATATAAATTTATAATATCACTCCAAAAGAAGAACTACACTTTTTTCCAAAAGTCTTCCACGATTTTGACCACTACTTTATATCAAACAAAGCAACATTCAACAACACATCAGAATCTCATAATAAATATGTTGGTTAATGACAAACAATACAGGTAATGAACACACACCCAACTCGTTTCATTTCTTCTCCATTTGTTCCTGAGGCTCTAATCCCTTTTTGTCTCCAATGCAGATTGTGATGAAACAGAAATCGAGAACAAAGGTGACCACGACAAAATCCCCAGAGAGGAGAAGCCACACAAAAATTTGGAGTGTGGAGAAAACTGTAGTCAGAGCTCCCATTCCACTTCCCATCAACAAAATCTCATTGGAAAGAAAGTCTATCAGTGCATGGAATGTGGAAAGAGCTTCAGGAAGAGCTCCATTCTCACTTACCATCAAAGAATTCATACAGGGGAGAAACCATATCAGTGTGTGGAATGTGGAAAGAGCTTCAGTCACAGCTCCAATCTCACCTTCCATCAAAGAATTCATACAGGGGAGAAACCCTATCAGTGTGTGGAATGTGGAAAGAGCTTCAGGCAGAGAGTCAGTCTCACTTCCCATCAAAGAATTCATACAGGGGAGAAACCCTATCAGTGTGTGGAATGTGGAAAGAGCTTCACAGATACTTCCTCTCTCATTTCCCATCACAGAATTCATACAGGGGAGAAACCCTATCAGTGTGTGGAATGTGGAAAGAGCTTCAGAAAAAGCTCCTCTCTCACTTCCCATCACACAATTCATACAGGGGAGACACCCTATCATTGTGTTGAATGTGGTAAGAGCTTCAGGAAAAGCTCCTCTCTCACTTCCCATCGCACAATTCATACAGGGGAGAAACCCTATCAGTGCGTGGAATGTGGTAAGAGCTTCAGGAAAAGCTCCTCTCTCACTTCCCATCACAGAATTCATACAGGGGAGAAACCGTATCAGTGCATGGAATGTGGAAAGAGCTTCAGTCACAGCTCCCATCTCACTTCCCATCAAAGAATTCATACAGGTGAGAAACCCTATCAGTGTGTGGAATGTGGAAAGAGCTTCACTCATAGCTCTTCTCTCACTTCTCATCACAGAATTCATACAGGGGAGAAACCCTATCAGTGTGTCGAATGTGGAAAGAGCTTCAGGAAGAGTTCCTCTCTCACTTCCCATCACAGAATTCATACAGGGGAGAAACCCTATCAGTGTGTGGAATGTGGAAAGAGCTTCAGGATGAGCTCCTCTCTCGCTTCCCATCACAGAATTCATACAGGGGAGAAACCCTATCAGTGTGTGGAATGTGGAAAGAGCTTCAGGAAGAGTGCCTATCTCACTTCCCATCAAAGAATTCATACAGGGGAGAAACCCTATCAGTGTGTGGAATGTGGAAAGAGCTTCAGGAAGAGTGCCCATCTCACTACCCATCAAAGAATTCATACAAGGGAGAAACCCTATCAGTGTGTGGAATGTGGAAAGAGCTTCAGGAAGTGCTCCTCTCTCACTTTCCATCACAGAATTCATACAGGGGAGAAACCCTATCAGTGTGCGGAATGTGGAAAGAGCTTCACTGATAGCTCCTCTCTCACTTCCCATCACAGAATTCATACAGGGGAGAAACCCTATCAGTGTGCGGAATGTGGAAAGAGTTTCACAGATAGTTCCTCTCTCTCTTCCCATCACAGAATTCATACAGGGGTGAAACCCTATCAGTGTGTGGAATGTGGAAAGAGCTTCAGGCAGAGGGTCAGTCTCACTTCCCATCAAAGAATTCATACAGGGGAGAAACCCTATCAATGTGTCGAATGTGGAAAGAGCTTCACTGATAGCTCCTCTCTCATTTACCATCACAGAATTCATACAGGGGAGAAACCCTATCAGTGTGTGGAATGTGGAAAGAGCTTCCGTCAGAGCTCCGATCTCACTTACCATCACAGAATTCATACAGGGGAGAAACCCTATCAGTGTGTGGAATGTGGAAAGAGCTTCAGTAGGAGCTCCAATTTCACTTCCCATCAAAGAATTCATACAGGGGAGAAACCCTATCAGTGTGTGGAATGTGGAAAGAGCTTCCGTCAGAGGTCCGCTCTCACTTCCCATCACAGAATTCATACAGGGGAGAAACCCTATCAGTGTGTGGAATGTGGAAAGAGCTTCACTCATAACTCCCATCTCATTTCCCATCAAAGAACTCATACAGGGGAGAAACCTTATCAGTGTGTGGAATGTGGAAAGAGCTTCACTGTTAGCTCTAAACTCACTTCCCATCAAAGAATCCATACAAAGTTCGGAAAAACCATTATACAGCTTTAGGAGCCATGCAAATCCACACGTTTTTAACCAGGCCTTTTTCTTATTGACATCTAAAACTATTTTAACATGCGATGTTTTGTGTTTTTATGTTCCAAGCATTCTGAGACGTGTGGGTGTAGGGAATACGGCCAACTCCTAAATATTGGAGGAGGCCACCCCCCAGGTTTTCTTTGTGGTTTTTTTCAAATGCAACCTTTTTTTCTTCCGCTACTTGCCATACAATTTCGCTTTCAATTTGCCCTTTTAAGAAATTTTTATAAACCCCACAAAGGTCATGAGAAAAAAAAATACAAGAAAATACAAATGTGGAGAGGTCCCATATTTGCAGGCCAAATGCAAAAGTTGCTTTAAAGGAGGCTTTCCCAAACTTGGGTCCCCAGCATCTCCCGGACTACAGTTCCCATCATCCCTCCCCATTGGTCCTGCTAGCTAGGGATGATGGGAGTTGTAGTCCAAAACCAGCTGGAGACCCAAGTTTGCTTTAATTTTTTTTAAAATGATATTTATTAAAATTTCACAAGAAAAGGATCACATTAATAAAAAAAATTAACAATAAAAAGAAAAATACACAATACAAAATACAAAAAAGGAAAAGAAAAAACAGTTAAAAACAATTCCGTCTTTTCATCACTTACTTTTACTTTTACTTGTTTCCCGGACCTCCTCATACCTCCCTCTTTTGTATTCCAATTCAGTTTGTTAGTCCAGCAATTCCTTTCCCTCCTTTTTAATCCTAATCTTTAATCTTATTATATTATAACATTAAATTTTTACCTATTAAAAACCAATTTTTCCAATTCTTTTAACCATTACTGCTAGAAACCGCTTAACTTCAATCTGTCATCATTCTAACATTCATTAATTTTACAATATTTCTGTAAGTAGTCTTTAAATTTCTTCCAATCTTCTTCCACCGACTCTTCTCCCTGGTCTCGGATTCTGCCAGTCATTTCCACTATTCCATATAGTCCATCATTTCCATCTGCCATTCCTCCAGTGTGGGTAAATCTTGTGTCTTCCAATACTTTGCAATAAGTATTCTTGCTGCTGTTGTAGCATACATAAAGAAAGTTCTGTCCTTCTTTAATACCGATTGGTCAACTATGCCCAGGAGAAAGGCCTCTGGTTTCTTCAAGAAGGTATATTTAAATACCTTTTTTAATTCATTGTAAATCATCTCCCAGAAAACCTTGATCCTTGGGCACGTCCACCAAAGGTGAAAGAATGTACCTTCAGTTTCTTTACATTTCCAACATTTATTATCAGACAGATGGTAGATTTTTGCAAGCTTGACTGGGGTTATGTACCACCTGTATATCATTTTCATAATATTCTCTCTTAGGGCATTACATGCCGTAAACTTCATACCTGTGGTCCATAACTGTTCCCAGTCAGCAAACATAATATTATGTCCAACATCTTGTGCCCATTTAATCATAACAGATTTCACCGTTTCATCCTGAGTATTCCATTTCAGCAGCAAGTTATACATTCTTGACAAATTCTTAGTTTTGGGTTCTAACAGTTCTGTTTCTAATTTTGATTTTTCCACCTGGAAGCCAATTTTCTTATCCAAATTGTATGCCTCTGTTATTTGATAATAATGAAGCCAGTCTCGCACTTTATTTTTTAGTTTTTCAAAACTCTGCAGTTTCAATCTATCTCCATCTTGTTCTAAAATTTCCCAATATTTCGGCCATTTGACCTCCATATAGAGCTTTTTCAGGGCTTTCGCTTCCATCGGTGACAGCCACCTTGGGGTTTTATTTTCCAATAAGTCCTTATATCTTATCCAAACATTAAACAAAGCTTTCCTAACAATATGGTTTTTAAATGCTTTATGTGCTTTGGCCTTATCATACCACAGATATGCATGCCAACCAAATACATTGTTAAAACCTTCTAGATCCAAAATGTCAGTGTTTTCAAGAAGCAGCCATTCTTTCAACCAGCAAAAAGCTGCTGATTCATAATAAAGTTTAAAGTCTGGCAGGGCAAATCCACCTCTTTCCTTTGCATCTGTTAGTATTTTAAATTTTATTCTGGGCTTCTTGCCCTGCCAGACAAATCTAGAAATATCTCTCTGCCACCTCTTGAAACAGTCCATTTTGTCCACAATTTGCAATGTTTGAAACAAAGACAACATTCTAGGCAATACATTCATTTTTACCGCAGCAATACGGCCCAGCAGTGAAAGCTTCAAATTGGACCAAATTTCTAAATCTTTTTTCATTTCAGCCCAACATTTTTCATAGTTATCTTTAAATAAATTCCCATTTTTTGCTGTCATATTAATCCCCAGGTATTAACCACAGTCAGACGTGTCTCATTCTGAAACCTCTCTCTTTCGGTGTTAAATTTTTCTCTAAAACCTTAGTTTTTAGCTTGTTCAATTTAAATCCTGCAGCCTGACCAAATTTTTGAATCAATTCTAAAACCCTTTTAGTACTAGATTCTGGCTCCTGTAACGTCAATACTAAGTCATCTGCAAATGCTCTCAATTTGTACTGTTTGGCTCCGACCTGTATACCTTTAACCAACCGGTCCCTTCTAATCATGTTCAGCAAAACCTCCAGGACCGAAATAAAAAGCAATGGGGAAATTGGGCAACCTTGTCGTGTCCCTTTTTCTATCTTAAATTCTTCCGTCACCACATTATTTACAATTAATTTAGCCTTTTGTTCTGAGTAAATTGCACTTATACCGTTTTCAAAACCTTGGCCTACCCCCATACCCTGTAGGTTCTTCTACATAAAACTCCAAGAAATATGGTCAAAAGCTTTCTCCGCGTCCACAAATATCATAACTGCTTTAGTATTTATGTTCACTTCTAGTTTTTCCAAAATATCGATTATATTCCTCAAATTGTCAGACAAGTGTCTTCCCGGGAGAAAGCCCGCTTGGTCTTTATGAATCTCTTCCATCAACACTGTTTTCAATCTCTTAGCCAAAATGTCTGCAAAAATTTTGTAATCCACATTAAGTAATGATATGGGGCGGTAGTTCTTAAGCTGAGTCTTTTCAGTCTCTGTTTTCGGTACAAGTGTAATATAGGCTTCTTTCCACGACTCTGGTGCCCTTTTCCCCTCCATTATTTCATTACAGACCTCTTTCAAAGGTTGTACTAGCCATTCTTTCAAGGATCTGTAATATCTAGAAGTCAGTCCATCAGGTCTTGGAGATTTACCCAATTGCATGTTTTGAATGGCACCTTCTATCTCTTGTTCAGTTATTTTATAGTTCAACATTAATTTATTTTCTTGAGAGATTTTTTGTGATCCATTTGTTTTCAAAAATCGATCTAAATCAGTTTCTTTCTGTGGTCCTTGTGTATATAGTTGTTTAAAGTATCTCTGGAAACAATTTCTAATCTCAGCTGGGTTCTGTATATTCCTTCCTTCCACTTCTAAATTTGTAACTGTATTTAATTTTTGTCTTTTTTCAATTGCCAGGCCAGCAATTTCCCACATTTATTAGCTGATTCAAATGTCTTTTGTCTCATTTGTTTAATTTTCCATTCTATCTCTTGGTTCATCATTTTCATATATTGCACTTGATATAATTTTATTTCTCTCAGAATCTCTTGAGACTTTGGTTTTGTTCTCAATCTTTTTCACTTTCCTTTATTTTCTCCAAAATTTTATCCTTCTTCTCATTTTGGATTCTCTTCTTTAATGCATTCTGTTGTATCAAGAACCCTCTCATAACCGCTTTACTTGCGCCCCAGATTACTCTTTTTTCCACATTGGTGCTCATATTTATCTCAAAATAGTCTCTCAAGGTTTTTTGGGCCTTCTTAAGCACTTCTTCATCTCTAAATAAGGTGTCATTCATCCTCCATCTAAAGGAGCCAGTTGGTGTTAGTTTCATTTCCATCTTAACAGCATTATGGTCGGAGCAGGTTTTTGGGCAGATTTCCACTTTTCTTGTCTTTGGTGCCATTCCTCTAGTTACCCATATTTGGTCAATTCTTGTCCATGTCATTTTGGCTTCAGAAAAGAAGGTTCCTTCTTTAGCCATGGGGTGTCTTGTTCTCCAAATGTCAACTAAGTCCAAGTTGTCTGTCATCTCAAAAAAAGTTTTCTGTAGTCTACCATCCTTAGTGACTACCTGTCTTTGTGCCTTGTCCATGTTTGTAGATACCACTCCATTCATGTCTCCCATCAAAATCATATTGTAATCCAGATAGTCCATCAGGGTCTCATGCAACTTCTTAAAAAAATCAGATTTCCCCTCATTTGGTGCATAAATTCCTACTATCAAAATTTTTTCTCCTTGTGTTTGAATTTCGATTGCCACAAATCTTCCTTGGTCATCTTTAAAGATAAATTTCGGTGATAATTTGTCCTTTGCATAAATCACAACCCCTCTTTTTTTAACCTTGTCCGATGAAATAAACTCCTGCCCAAGTCTTTTATTAATCAATAATTTCCTGTGTAGCCTTGTTATATGTGTTTCTTGTAGACAAATCAAGTCCAATTGTTACTTTTTTAATAAATGAAACACAGATCTCCTTTTCTGGGGGGAGTTCAAGCCATTACAATTCCAGCTTAATAGTTGCAGAGCCATGATGTAACTACTTTACTTCTCCTCCAACAGCACCCAGTGCCTGTTCCTGTTCTGTCGGTGGTATCACCTTTTTCAGGTGGTCTTTTAGTTCCAGAGATAAATCTGGTATGTCTAAAGTTTCTCTTACAAGTTCTCTTAGCTCTCCTGTGACTTTCTTCTGCAGGTCTTCTCCGTGGTCTCTCCAAAATTTGTCTTTGTCGTCTTCTGATCTTATTTTTATCTTCTTTCCTTTATAGCTAAAGGATAGGCCTTGGGGGAATTCCCACCTAAAAATAATTCCGTTGCTTTTCAGCAGAGTAACCAAATCTTTATAGTTGGACCTAAGGTCCAAAAGATGTTTCGGGATATCCTTGAATATCTCCACTTTTGACTGTTGTATTTCCAAGGTCTTCTGGAAATGCAGGCTCAAGATTTTATCTCTCTCTTCTTTTTTTCGGAGGGTGATCAAACAGTCTCTCACCCTGTTCTTTCTCCCTCCTCTTCCAAGCCTAAAAGCACTCACTATCTTGAAACTGTCCTTCCCCAAATCTGGGTTCCAAAAGTCTGCAAATTCCTGCGTAAGAAATTCAATCAAATTGTCCTTCTCCACTTCAGGTACAGCCCTGACCCTTAAATTCACTTGTTTCTCCTTCAACTCAATCATAGACAAAATTGGCTTATGGTCTTCAAGTTGTTTATGTAGCGGTGGTATCTTCTCTTCTACCACGGTAGCTGTAGCAGTAGCAATTTCTTTAGCCTCTTCAGCTGTCTTACGTGTCGAAGTAGATTCCTGTAATAGTTTCTGAATAGTTTCTGTATTAGTGTTTACCTTCTGTCCCAAATTATTAATACTTGTCGTATTTTGATTAATACTTGTCGTGTTTTGATCAATTTTACCCGATGCCTCGGCTACTTGTTTACTTATTCTTTCCAAAGATTCATTAATTTTAGCTGCCATCAGCTGCCATGCCTTTGGGTTTAGATTGTGCCGATGAGGTTACTGTTGGTAGACCAGGAGGGCCAGATGTCGAAGCCCTTCTTTGCAGCCCACCGTTGGTACGAAATACTTTGCCAGACCTTGTTGCTTGTAACAAATCTATCTTCTCTTTCCCATCTGCCATAACCCTCAAGATATAAGCCAAGGTCAGTCTCACAGTCAGAGTCAGAGTCAGAGTTGTTTTGAAGTGGAAAGTTCCCTTGGGAAATTGAAGTGGAAAATTCCCCTAAGCCAGCTGCAGTTGTAACAAATTCAAACTTCCTCTTGGGGGACACTGTAACAGTCTAAAATGTCTTAAAATAATTGACTTCTCCCTTTAGCCCCCCAATTCACCGAAAAGACAACAGTTTCTATCTCAATCTGTTACTTTAAAACCAGGAGATACCTGTCAGCAATATTGTAACAAAGTTGTATCTCAGATGCAGAGTTAACTGTCAAAAAGTGCTTTCAGCGGCAGCGCCGTTTCCAATACGGCAGAACCCGTTCCAGGGTTTTAAGCGGTGGTTTTTGTCTCCTCTTCCTCTTTTTTCAGGGAAATAATGTTCAAACCTTCTCCCCCCTCCTCCCCTGCAGTCAAGGGGGGAAAATCACAGTTTGATGCTCGAATTATAATCGTTTTCCAACGTCTTTTAAAGCTTCCGCTTTCAAGTTCAATGCTTTACTCCGTTTACAAGAGCGGGAGGCAGACTTCCTTTTTATACCTCTCCGCTTTGGTACCGAATTATTCAAAAGTTTTGTAAAGTTCCTTTAATTGGATAGTTAACCTACGGATCATTGTTTTAAAGCCAAATTGTCCCAGGAAAAAGGCAGCGCTCTCCGGCAACAGCTGCGCGGCTTCACTCCACGGAAGAAGCAGACGACTCACAGCACAGCGCCACTTCCCCGCTCAGCTCCGGAGCCCGTTGCCGGGTTCCTTTGCTGATTGGGGGGGCGCAAAAGGTGCCCGCCGAGTCCCACGGTCACAGGCTTCACCCGCCTGTGATTTTTCAAGGGTCCCCGCTGCGCCGTAGCGGTGCAGACCCTGTTTCCGTGGAGCCAGTTCCCTCCAGATCAGAGGGAATCCGCCATTACCGATGGCGCCACCCCGGAAGTCCGAGACCCAAGTTTGCTTTAAAGGGAAAGTAGGCTGGCCTTGTGACACCCTCTGCTGGCCAAAAGCACTGCCCCAGAATCTGAACCACCCCCAGTACTCCTAATTGGAATTTATAGAGCACAAAACTGAAGTTTGATCGGCACTTCAACCACTAGGGAGCTTCTAGGTGCTTTCTGCACCACCTAGAGTACCCACAAAATTGTGGCTTCTACTGGCAACACACAGGAGAACAAATGAAAGACAAACACAAGGGGCAGGGAAAACCTGGAAAGGGCCATACCAAATGGACATCCGGTGTGAAGAGGTCACTTTCCCCACTGCTGAACAATGCCACAGGTAGAGGAGATGGAATGCCAGAAGTGTTTTCCGGGGCAAGGGGAGCTGCTGGGAAATTGAACTACGGGCTCAAAATGTTACTTTTTAAAAAAGTTGCTGCCTTTCTAGACATTGCCATTCAAATGGCGTGCATGCATCCTGTGATTGATAGTGCAAGGCGGGACTTACCTGACCCTCCACCAATATTTTATTCAAGTCGGCACCACTGGTCAGGTGATTTACAAATTAAATAAATACATAAATCTCCTTCCTTTGCACAAGTTCCAGCTTGTCAATATCCTCATTTATGCTTTTTAAAATTTATTTGCCCTTCATCTGAAGATTTTACATTATAAACATACAGGATGAAAGCATGGCTTTCTCAAAAACAAGACAAGCCAGAGAAATCTCTCCTTTTCTTTTCTTTTCTTTTCTTTTCTTTTCTTTTCTTTTCTTGGATGGAGTTATAAACTTTGTTGATCAGTGGACTGCTGTGGAAATTGTGTATTTTGATTTCAGTAAGGCTTTTGACAAAGTCCTCTGTGATATTTATGTGAGGATGCTGGTAAAATGAGACTGAATGAGGTAACTGTTAGGTGGATTTGACGGACCGACCCCAAAGAGAACTCCTTCATGGTTCCTCCTCATCCTGGGAAAAAGTGACCAGAGGGGTGCTGCAGGGTTCTGTTCTGGGCCCGTTGTTGTTCAATGTCTTGATAAATGACATGGATGAAGGAACTGAGGGGATGCTCATCACATTTGCAGACAAAACCAAACAGATCGTAATGGCGCCCTCTCTCTTCTTCAGCAACAGACAGGGAGACAAAGAACAGTGCAAAAGCACAGCAGAGCGGAAGAGATAAGACTGACTTCCGTTCTTACAATTTCCAATCCTAGGATAGTAAACAGGGGCATGTGACATACTAGCCACATATCCAGCAACCAGAGGAGTAAATTGCTAACCCACTACACATGATTGCAGGTGATATAAGGAAAAAAACCTGCTTCTTTTTCCTTATGGGGTACCCAAGGGCCCATATACAGTCCTTTTGTAGGTTCTCTATTGGTAGGAGAAAATAACAGAGACCAACCAGAGAATATTGAGAAGCAAAGCAGCTAGTAAGCCTTTTCTTTATTAACTGTTGCAACAGGGTTCTCCACCCACACGCAGGAGAGAGGAGGAGGACCCTGAGCCCTGCATGCAAGCCCTTATATAGACATATAAGCCCTTATATATGCATGTAAGCCCTTATATATTTTTAATTGCCCGCCCTGGAGTCCAAGACCACCCCCAGAAACATCATACATACATCACAGAAAAGGCAGTCTACAACTGAAATCGGAGTGCATTGTTTTTACCTTTTCTGCCAGGTTACCTGTTAATGGTCACTTGACTAGATTACCTGGGGAGGCTGGCCATTCTTTTGTAATGATAATACTTCATTCCTGAGCCAGGTCACAGGCTCACCCTATTCACACCTTAAATGTGCCCTTAAGGCAGGATTTGTGAGGACAGAGACAATGGGGAGGTTTGTGCATTTCCTTTTACCTTGTAGAGAAATATTTGAGGTGACTGAAAGAGTGAAAGAGTCAAAATGGCTTTAGGACTTTTCCTGTGGGTTTTGGACATGTGGTTTATATATTAATATATGTGTTTGCTTGGTACATTTAGAATATATATATATATATATATATATATATATATATATAAAACCTAAAAATCCTTATAACAATTCCCCCCTTTGGGGATATAATTTTTTCTAAAAAATTGTTGCCTCACAAATAATAACCTGGTATGTTGTAAATGGATGCTTCATGTAAATCTTAAGTGACTTGCGTGTCAGGCCTCTTAAGGCTATTTGCAGGTGTAGCAGTGCACATAGCTGGACATAGGATATCACATAAAAAATAACACATGTAGCATTTTATTCTTAAATTACTTGTGGCATTCTAGCACTTTGGGAGAAACATTCTCAATAATGGTCTATGCTTTACACTTAGCGGGAAGGTCAAATAATGAGTGAAAAATGCAGTTTGTTTTGTTTCTGCCTTTTTTGTGTGTTCCCAGGTGTCAAAGCTAGCTCTCGTCTGGTCTCACACCTCCGTCATATCACAGCAGCAACAATCCCTGGTGAATCCCCGTAGGGCTTTCATATTGACCATGTCACCTTGTAGTGGCACAGGTTTGGACATTTCTTGAGAGAGATGTCTTTGCCTTGGCCTTTCTACGGGATTTTTATTATTATAGGCTCTGGTCTTCCACTCTAGGGAAGTTGCTCAGTTGTTCCTAAGGGACCAAAAAGCTAATTGCAGCCTGGATACAATTGTCCAATTCAAACGGAGTCCAATTAGAATTTATATAGCCCCATGGCTCGCCGACGTGGAGTTCCGGCCCCACCTGGTGGCGGCTGTCAGCCTGGACCTTGTACGCATCCTTGGCCTGGCGCAGTTGCTCCTGTGATGGCCTGGGAATCTGATTCAGAGGTTGAACCGGAGGAATCCCAGCCTGCACAGGAGTCCCTGCCTCCAGGGCCGGCTGAGCCAGGGCAGGGCCTTGAATCTGAAGGGCCCGCACCTGTGCCGGATCCTCAGGAGCAGACACCAGATGAATCCACTCTGGCTCCGGGGGTGATTGAGGACCCATTGCCTGCAGGTGCTCCTCTCCCAGCCCTGTCAGGGGAAGGTGAGGCTGCCTCTGGGTCCAGTAACCCTCCAGCCTCTCCTGAGCTGCAGAGGCTGAGGGCAGAGAGGCGGAAGGAACTAAGTTCTATCAGGAGGAGTGCTTGCCTTAAGACCAGGAGAGGCGAGTCACCTGTGGGCCGGGACCGCCCTAGGCCCCAGAGGAGATAAAGGCCAGTCAGCCCAGTCTCAGGTTGTTCCAACGTCGTTGGAAACCTGTTTCTGCCAACACTCAGACCTGTTCTTCCAGAGTTCCCAACCACGCCTGGCTTCTTGCTTTGGACCCCGCTTCGCCTTTGGTGGACAGTCTCCAGACCCTCGACCCAGGACCGGACTCTGACCACGCCTCACAGTAACCCCCCCCCCCGGGACCAGCACAGTTTGCTCCTGCCACACCCGCACTCCCCCTTCGTTGGGGTGCGTTCGGGAAGAGCCAGAAGCCATGGCCGACCAGGCAGCTGCGTTGCTGGCATTGGCCCTGGAGAACCAGGCCTTGACTCACACTGTTCAGCAGCTAAACAATGCGGCTACGGCGCTTCAGCAGCAGTTGGATGCCTTACTGGCTCCTGGGGCCGACGCCCCAGTTTTTGGCAAGTACCCAGTGGCCCTGCCAGAGAATTTTGATGGGTCCCCGGCCAGCTTTCCCATGTTCCTCGCCCAGGCCAAGCTGTATATTCAGGGGCGAGCCCGGAATTTTCCTGACGAACGCACCAAGGTGCACTTCTTTTATATATATATATATAAATATTTATTAAAGTTTTCACAATATTACAAAATGAAAAATAAAAAATAAAAAATAGTTAAAAACAATTCAATCTTTTCGTCACTTATCTTTCATTTGCTTGTTTCCCGGACCTCCTCATACCTCCCTTTTTTGTATTCCAGTTCAATTTATTAGTTCAGCAATTCCTTTCCCTCCTTATTTTATCCTGATCTTTAATCTTAATATATTATAGCATTAAATTTTTACCTGTTAATCCATTTTTTCATTCTTTTATACCATTACAGCTAGAAACCACTTAACTTCAATCCAACATCAATCTAACATTCACTAATTTTGCAGTATTTCTGTAAATAGTCTTTAAATTTCTTCCAGTCTTCTTCCACCGACTCTTCTCCCTGGCCTCGGATTCTGCCAGTCATTTCCGCCAATTCCATGTAGTCCATCATTTTCATCTGCCATTCTTCCAGAGTGGGTAGGTCTTGTGTCTTCCAATACTTTGCAATAAGTATTCTTGCTGCTGTTGTGGCATACATAAAGAAAGTTCTATCCTTCTTTAACACCAATTGGCCGACTATGCCCAGGAGAAAGGCCTCTGGTTTCTTCAAGAAGGTATATTTAAATACCTTTTTTAATTCATTATAAATCATCTCCCAGAAAGCCTTAATCCTTGGGCACGTCCACCATAGGTGAAAGAATGTACCTTCAGTTTCTTTACATTTCCAACATTTATTATCAGGCAAATGATAGATTTTTGCAAGCTTGACTGGGGTCATGTACCACCTGTATATCATTTTCATAATATTCTCTCTTAAGGCATTACATGCCGTAAACTTCATACCTGTGGTCCATAACTGTTCCCAGTCAGCCATCATTATGTTATGTCCAACATCCTGTGCCCATTTAATCATAGCAGATTTCACCGTTTCATCCTGAGTATTCCATTTCAACAGCAAGTTATACATCTTTGACAAAATCTTAGTTTTGGGTTCTAACAGTTCTGTTTCTAATTTTGATTTTTCCACCTGGAAGCCGATTTTCTTGTCCAAATTATATGCCTCCATTATCTGATAATAATGAAGCCAGTCTCGCACTTTGTTTAGTTTTTCAAAACTCTGCAATTTCAGTCTATCTCCATCTTGTTCCAAAATTTCCCAATATTTCGGCCATTTGACCTCCATATTGAGTTTTTTCTGAGCTTTCGCTTCCATCGGTGACAGCCACCTTGGAGTTTTATTTTCCAATAAGTCCTTATATCTTATCCAGACATTAAACAGTGCTTTCCTGACAATATGGTTTTTAAATGCTTTATGCGCTTTGACCTTATCATAGCACAAATATGCATGCCATCCAAATACGTTGTTAAAACCTTCTAAATCCAAAATGTCTGTGTTTTCTTTCAACCAGCAAAAAGCTGCTGATTCATAGTAAAGTTTAAAGTCTGGCAGGGCAAATCCACCTCTTTCCTTTACATCTGTTAGTATTTTAAATTTTATTCTAGGCTTCTTGCCCTGCCAGACAAATCTAGAAATATATCTCTGCCACTTCTTGAAACAGTCCATTTTGTCCACAATTTGCAATGTTTGAAACAAAAACAACATTCTAGGCAATACATTCATTTTTATCGCAGCAATACAGCCTAGCAGTGAAAGCTTCAAATTTGACCAAATTTCTAAATCTTTTTTCACTTCAGCCCAGCATTTTTCATAGTTGTCTTTAAATAAATTCCCATTTTTTGCTGTCATGTTAATCCCCAAGTATTTGACTTTCTTGACCACTGTTAAACCTGTCTCATTCTGAAACCTCTCTCTCTCAATTGGTGTTAAATTTTTCTCTAAAACCTTGGTTTTTGATTTATTCAGTTTAAACCCTGCAACCTGACCAAATTCTTGAATCAGTTTTAAAACCCTTTTGGTACTAGATTCTGGCTCCTGTAACGTCAGTACTAAGTCATCTGCAAATGCTCTCAATTTGTACTGTTTGGCTCCGACCTGTATACCTTTAACCAACTGGTCCCTTCTTATCATATTCAGCAGAACCTCCAGGACCGATATAAAAAGCAGTGGGGAGATTGGGCAACCTTGTTGTGTCCCTTTTTCTATCTTAAATTCTTCCATCACCACATTATTTACAATTAATTTAGCCTTTTGTTCAAAATATATTGCACTTATACCGTTTTCAGAACCTTGGCCTACCCCCATACCCTGTAAGTTCTTTTTCATAAAAGTCCAAGAAATGTTGTCAAAAGGTGCACTTCTTGATCAGCTTGCTGAAGGACCAGGCAGCCAAGTGGGCTTTGCCATTGCTCCGGCAAGACTCTCCTTTGCTGACAGACTATGTAACCACTTGGAGACTGCGTTTGGCAACCCTATGAAGGGGAGCCAAGCCAATCGGGCGATTCATCGGTTGAGACAGGACAAGTCCACAGCCGCCACCTACACCACAGAATTTTGGCTGTTGGTGCAGGACTTGTCCTGGAATGACTCTGCACTGCGGGACCAGTATCTTGAGGGGCTTTCGGATGAGATACTGGACCAGCTGGCCACGATGGATTGCCCCACCTCGCTGGACGCCCTCATTCAGTGGAGCCTGCAGATAGACGATTGTTTGGAGGACCGTTGTCAGGCCCGGGACCACCAGCACTCCCAGCTTCCGGCTCCAGTCTTTACCAGCAGGTCCACGACCATAACCGAGTTGCCGGAGGAGCCTATGCAGCTCGGGGCAGCACGGCCTCGCCTCTCCCCCGCGGAGAAGACGCGGCGGCGGGAGGGGAACCTGTGTCTCTACTGTGGCAGAAGCGGACACTACGCCCGATCCTGTCCTGAGAAGGTGCCGGCCGCAGGGAAACCACCAACCCCGGTAGCTGAAGGCCCTGCTACCTGGGGTCCCAAACAGCACATGGGCCCGCACCAGTGGAATTGCAACACCTCATGGTCCTGGTGCATCTATACCCTCCTGGTGTGCCCTGGATTCTCAGTCATGCTCTGGTAGATTCGGGGGCAACCCTCTCCTATATAGACTCTGCCTTCGCCGCCCATCATCAGGTGCCATTCCAGGACAAGCCAGAACCGGTACAGGTGGAGGCAATTGACAGACGGCTCCTGCGCTTGGGTGCCGTTACTCAGGAGACTCAGCCCTTGGTCCTGTGTCACCAGCAGCACCGGGAGGTGCGCACCTTGGACATTGCCACCATGCCCCGGTTTCCCCTGGTGCTCGGGATGGACTGGCTGGAATCTCACAATCTTCAGATCGACTGGGTCAATCAGACTGTGCTCTTCCCAGACCCATGTCCCCATGCTCGTTCCAAGATGCTAGCAGTCACCCCCACGGGGGAAGCTGCATCAATGCTCCCCGCTGTTTACCAGGACTACCAAGAAGTGTTTGAGGAACAGGGGGCAGACCAGCTGCCACCTCATTGATCTTTCGACTGCGGCATAGACCGCCAGCCCGGGGTGCCACTGCCTGTGAGCTGCCTATACTCTCTTACGGAGCCAGAGCACTAAGCCTTGTAGGACTTCCGTCGCAAGTGTTGGAAAACTAGCCCCTTCGGGAGAGGCTGGCCTCTCCCCCTGCTCCTGGGACTTGTTTACCGGTGATCTTCCTCTGGCTGGCATCCCAGACAGACCAGGGAGATCTTGATAGGCGACATCTCCCAGCGTGGAAGATGCACACCCCCTTCTCCCCTTTCACAGGGGAAAGAAGAATAGTCAGAAAGTCCTTTTACATCTTGTTTATTTCTGACTTTACAGCTCTACAAAAAAAAACATGTCCGATCAGTTCAAACTTCTCCAAGCAAGTGACACAGACTTCCTTTACAAACGCAACAGGAAGGTCTCATATTACACACGGAACAAAGCTTTGTGTATCCCGTGAACTGCCTGCAAGATTCTTTCCCAGGACTAGCCACATCATGTGATGTAAACAAGCTGGCAGTTTGCAGCTGCATTGTACTCATATTGTAACATACTCCCCCATATGAATCAACGTTAGCTGCGAACAAAGCTTGATCCAGAGAAGAATACAAACAGTTGTTATACACGTAACAATCACCTGTTGTATCAGTTCCACCTTTGGAACTACCTGCTACTGGTTTCACCAGTGTAACTCTCTGGTTGTCTGTTTTCCAAGGAATGAGTGCTTCTGCATTACCTTGGCTACGGAAGGTAGTGTTACGCTTAGCAACACTCAGTTGTGTCTTTGTCTCTGACTTAGACACACCTTTAACTCGTCTTGTGTTGTCAACAATAGTAACACATGCAACAGCTGAGTTAGCAAATTCTTGAGAATACCTCTTGGGTGGTACTCCCTTTGTGACTCTCTCAGACCTGCGTATTAAGTGCTGATCCTGTTTGCTGACTGGTTCATCCTCAGGACCTTTTGGAGAACCATGCCCAACAGTAAACAGTGGTTCAGTCACTTCTAGTCTAGCTTTAACCTGTGTGGGTCTAGACATTGTGTGAGAACCCTTCTCAATGACTGTGTCAACAGAACTCTCTGAGCTTTCTGTGTCAATTTCAGTACCAGAATAATCAGAATTATCATCTGAATTGTCATCAGTGGGAAATGTGTGAAAAACCTCTCTCTCCTGTCCAGGAGTGCTCTCTAGAAACTTTGTGAGAATCACCTGACCAGATTCAAATAAAATTACTCTGTAGAAACCTTTCTCACCCAACCTGTTGAAACCTTTCTCACCCAAGTGTAACAAAAAGAAGATAAAGATTCAGCCCAGAACTCATGTGGTAAATGTGAACTCAGCAATTGTGCCTTCATGCCATTTTGCAACTCTTTGTTCACCTTTACACAAATACTCTTGTTCCATGAAGCTTCAGAAACAGCAATCTTATGCTCTATCCCTTGTTTCTCAAGGAAATCCTGAAAATCCTGTAAAAGAAAAACTGGCTTTTCATCTGTGAAAAGAAAATCAATATCTGCATTATGAACAGTTTTACCTTTGTCACAAAACTCCTGAAACCTTGCTAAGGCTTCTTTTGGTGATTCCAATACATAAATCCATACATATTGAGAATAATGATCAACACATAGAAGATAGTATTTTGTATTGCCTCTAGATGGTGCTAGAGGACCAATTACATCAGCATACACTCGCTGAAAAACACTGGTTATCTTTGCAGCCTTCTTATCCTTGGATACACCTGCAAGTGAAAACATTTTAGTATCACATGCAGTGCACATTCTGTAATCTGACTCTTCAAAAATCAATAGATACAGTCCATCTTTCTCTCTGGCAGAAAGATACAGCTCTCCATCTTTAAAGATTTTGCAACTCTCTTTATCATAGGACAACACCAGTCCTTTCTTTGTCATCTGAGAAACAGAGCTCCCTTTTGCTCCTTTCTGCTGACGTGGCTTTTTACAGTTCCTCTGAATATGCCCAGGCTGACCACAATTGTAACAACGGACAACGTTCAGAGCTATAGCTTGCTCTTCTCTAGCAATAGCAGTGGGGGTGCTTGTATTCCAAGCTTCACTCCCCCCATCAGCAACAACTGTTGCAGCAAGGCGGTCTCTCTCATTAAGAACCACAGAACAAATTCTCTCCACTGTAAGATCCCGGGCAGGTAGAGAACCAAGTTGACTTGCAACCGTTTTATAAGTTCGATTAAGGCAGTTAATTATCATAAAGCAAAATATCTCTTCCTGAAGAGGAAAGTTTCTTTGCGCCATCTGCTGGCGTAGATTTTTCATCTCTGTCAAATGCACCATCACATCTCCATCAGGCGCCAGTCTCATGTTTGTGAGCTTCTCAAAATGCAGCAGTGTGGTGCCTGTGGCATCCCTTTGATGGATTCTCTGCAGCGTTTCCAAAACCTCGCGCGCGAATTGCAAATCTGCTATATGCACAAGTTGCTCATCAGAGACACACAGAATAATAGCCGACCAGGCTTTCACATTCTGAGAATTCCAAGCCGCTGTGGGTGCAGCTGGGATGGGATTTTCAATCACTCCAAATACCCTCTGACTCTGAAGCAGGGCTTTCATTTTCACAGACCATGAGGAATAATTGTCATTAGTTAGGGGAGGTGGGTAAGGTAAACCTGCCCCTTTCTTGGCATCCATCTTGAATCCAAGTTACAGCTTTCAGCTAAGAGCTGAAAAATCTAACAGTCTGTGATCAGCAAGCTTCGCTGAAAAACCAACAGCTTATTTCAGCCTCTGAGCTTTTTACAGCTCTGGCTTGCTTCTCTCTTGCCTCTGAAGCTAATGAGCCCATAAATCAGCCCGTAAAGTACTCACGACTTGTTGGCAGGCAACGGCAGTTTTATCAGCTCCCCTGGAATGCTTGGTACGTGGCCTTCTCTCCGCTCTGTTTAATCCAAAACAGCAGCCTTTCTCAGTGAACCGGAGAACGATTCAATCCGCGTTCACCATCAGCCATAAATCAGCAACCGTCAGGGGTCCGTGGAACGTCGTAAATCAGCAAAACACGTCTCCGCCAGGTGTTGCAGCTGTTACTTTGTAGCCACCATCCGTGTGCTACCACTTGTTGGAAAACTAGCCCCTTCGGGAGAGGCTGGCCTCTCCCCCTGCTCCCGGGACTTGTTTACCGGTGATCTTCCTCTGGCTGGCATCCCAGACAGACCAGGGAGATCTTGATAGGCGACATCTCCCAGCGTGGAAGATGCACACCCCCTTCTCCCCTTTCACAGGGGAAAGAAGAATAGTCAGAAAGTCCTTTTACATCTTGTTTATTTCTGACTTTACAGCTCTACAAAAAAAACATGTCCGATCAGTTCAAACTTCTCCAAGCAAGTGACTCAGACTTCCTTTACAAACGCAACAGGAAGGTCTCATATTACACACGGAACAAAGCTTTGTGTATCCCGTGAGCTGCCTGGAAGATTCTTTCCCAGGACTAGCCACATCATGTGATGTAAACAAGCTGGCAGTTTGCAGCTGCGTTGTATTCATATCGTAACAGCAAGAACCTGTAGCGCGGGTTCATTCGGCCCTCTACCACGCCCACCGACGCTCTAGTACTCTTTGTTAAGAAGTGTGGGGAGCTTCGTCCCTGCCATGATTACCAGGCACTGAATAAGATTACCATCCCGTGTGCGAGTATTTGGAGCTCGCAAAGCTGACAGATGCAATGAGGGGTAAACCTAAAAAATTGGTGAAAGAAGAATGGGAATGTTTAAATAATTATTTAGGGGACAAGGGTTCAGCAAGAAATATCTGGCTATTTTTAGAATGATGCCGCATAGAGAAATGTTCCCTGATACCAAGATGAGGGATTCCTTTGGAATGCAGATAGAGATAATTGATAAGAATAATGATCTGTTGTGAGCTTGATGGAAGTGTGCAATAGATGAGCCTTCCTGCTTTGGCTCATCTTCCTTTTTTTTTTCTTTTTTTCTTTTTCTTTTTTTCTTTTTTCTTTTCTTTTATCTTTTCCATAGTTGCTTATGTTCTGTGTCATGTACTTTGATATTTGTTGTACTTTTTAAAGTTTTGTTTTCATTACTGTTAAGGAATTTTCCTTTGTAATTTTGGTTGTCTATATTTATATGTACCTGTTTAAAGCAAAATAAAAGTTTTTTTTTAAAAAAAAGGTTACCATCCCGGACCAGTATCCCTTGCCCTTTATTGCGGAGTTGCTGGAGCGGGTGCAAGGGGCGCAGATGTTCACCAAGCTGGACCTTCGAGGGGCCTACAATTTGATTCGGATCCGAGCTGGGGATGAGTGGAAGACAGCATTTGGGACACGGTATGGGCAGTTTGAATACCTGGTAATGCCTTTCGGGTTGCGCAATGCGCCTGCCGTGTTCCAACGGTACATCAACCACGTGTTCCAGGACTTGCTAGACAAGTACGTGGTGGTGTACCTAGATGACATTCTGATTTACTCCCATGACCCAGCTCGCCACGAGGGTCATGTCCGGTCCATGTTGCAGCGCTTGCGGGAGCAATGCCTGTATGCTAAGCTCAGCAAGTGAAAGTTCCACCAGCAGTCAGTGGACTTCCTCGGTCACCAACTCTCCCCCTGATGGGGTGCAGATGGATCCCGGGAATACGGTAGCAGTTCGGGAGTGGGCGGCACCCTGGAATCGCAAGGACCTACAGTGATTCCTGGAATTCGCCAACTATTACTGGACCTTCATTGTGGACTATGCTCATCGCGCCACCCCGCTGACCCGACTTGCTGTGCCCCAAGACACCGTTCTCCTGGGACAAGGAGGCAGAGGTGGCGTTTCAGGGGTTGAAAGCCTGTCTCCAGAGGGCGCCGCTTTTACAGCATCCTAATCCCTCTCGTCCCTTCATGGTGGAGACTGACGCCTCCAGTACGGCTCTCGGTGTCGTCTTGTCCCAGCAGCAAGGACCTGATGCGCTGCTGTTACTCTGCGCCTACTATTCCTGCCAGCTTCTTCTGGCGGAGCGTAACTATACCGTGTGGGAGTGGGAACTACTGGCCATAAAAGTGGCCTTTGAGGTCTGGGACCATCATTTTGAGGGGGCAAGACACCTGGTGGAAGTGAGTACTGACCACTGGAACCTGGAGTACCTCCAGACTGGGTCGACCACTTGGCATTGGAGGAGTTCACTTACAACAATGTGGTGAACGGCTCCACCCAGCAGACCCTGTTCCAGGCCACTTATGGTTACCATCCGTGTTTGTTCCCGGACGTGCTGCCACATCTGCAGTCCCCACGGTGACAGATTGGCTCCAGGAGCTCCAGTCTCAGCACCAACTATTGATGGAGCTGTGCTGGTCCTGGGGGGGGGGTACCATGAGGCGTGGTCAGAGTCCGGTCCTGGGTCGAGGGTCTGGAAACTGTCCACCAAAGGCGAAGCGGGGTCCAAAGCAAGAAGCCGGGCGTGGTCGGGAACTCCGGAAGAACAGGTCTGGGTGCTGGCAGAAACAGGTTTCCAACGATGTTGCTCCCGCAACCTGGGCTGTGTGATGGCCTGGGAATCCAATTCAGAGGCCGAACCAGAGGAACTCCAGCCTGCACAGGAGTCCCCACCTCCAGGGCCGGCTGAGCGGGGGCAGGGCCTTGACTCTGAGGCACCTGCACCTGTGATGGATCCTCAGGAGCAGGCACCAGGTGAATCTACTCTGGCTCCGGAGGGGATTGAGGACACATTGCCTACAGGTGCGCCTCTCCCAGCCCTGTCAGGAGAAGGCGAGCCTCCCCCTGGGTGCAGTAACCCTCCAGCCTCTCCTGAGCTGCAGAGGCTCAGGGCAGAGAGGCGGAGGGAACTGGTTTCTCCCAGGAGGAGTGCTCGCCTTAAGGCCAGAAGAGGCGGGTCACCTGAGGGCCGGGACCGCCCCTGGCCTCAGAGAGGATAAAGGCCAGTCAGCCCGGTCCCAGGTTGCGGGAGCAACGTCGTTGAAGAGCTGTTTCGGCCAGCACCCAGTCCTGTTCCTTCAGAGTTCCTGTCCTTGCCTGGCTCCTCGCTTCGGACCCCACCTTGCCCGTGGAGGACAGTCTACAGACCCTCGACCCAGGTCCTGGACCTCACCCCACGGTAACCTCCCCCCGGGACCAGCACAGGCTGACTGGCCTTTATCTCCTCTTGGGCCTAGGGCGGTCCCGGCCCAAAGGTGACCTGGCTCAGGAATGAAGTATTATCATTACAAGAGAATGGCCAGCCTCCCCAGGTAATCTAGTCAAGTGACCATTAACAGGTAACCTGGCAGAAAAGGTAAAAACAATGCACTCCGATTTCAGTTGTAGACTGCCTTTTCTGTGATGTATGTATGATGTTTCTGGGGGTGGTCTTGGACTCCAGGGCGGGCAATTAAAAATATATAAGGGCTTACATGCATATATAAGGGCTTATATGTCTATATAAGGGCTTGCATGCAGGGCTCAGGGTCCTCCTCCTCTCTCCTGCGTGTGGGTGGAGAACCCTGTTGCAACAGTTAATAAAGAAAAGGCTTACTAGCTGCTTTGCTTCTCAATATTCTCTGGTTGGTCTCTGTTATTTTCTCCTACCAATAGAGAACCTACAAAAGGACTGTATATGGGCCCTTGGGTACCCCATAAGGAAAAAGAAGCAGGTTTTTTTCCTTATATCACCTGCAATCATGTGTAGTGGGTTAGCAATTTACTCCTCTGGTTGCTGGATATGTGGCTAGTATGTCACATGCCCCTGTTTACTATCCTAGGATTGGAAATTGTAAGAACGGAAGTCAGTCTTATCTCTTCCGCTCTGCTGTGCTTTTGCACTGTTCTTTGTCTCCCTGTCTGTTGCTGAAGAAGAGAGAGGGCGCCATTACGATCTGTTTGGTTTTGTCTGCAAATGTGATGAGCATCCCCTCAGTTCCTTCATCCATGTCATTTATCAAGACATTGAACAACAACGGGCCCAGAACAGAACCCTGCAGCACCCCTCTGGTCACTTTTTCCCAGGATGAGGAGGAACCATGAAGGAGTTCTCTTTGGGGTCGGTCCGTCAAATCCACCTAACAGTTACCTCATTCAGTCTCATTTTACCAGCATCCTCACATAAATATCACAGAGGACTTTGTCAAAAGCCTTACTGAAATCAAAATACACAATTTCCACAGCAGTCCACTGATCAACAAAGTTTATAACTCCATCCAAGAAAAGAAAAGAAAAGAAAAGAAAAGAAAAGAAAAGAAAAGAAAAGGAGAGATTTCTCTGGCTTGTCTTGTTTTTGAGAAAGCCATGCTTTCATCCTGTATGTTTATATTGTAAAATCTTCAGATGAAGGGCAAATACATTTTAAAGAAGAATAAATGAGGATACAGACAAGCTGGAATATTTGCAAAGGGAGGCGATTTATGTCTTTATTTAATCTGTAAACCACCCGACCCAGTGGTGCCAACTTGAATAAAATATTGGTGGAGGGTCAGGTAAGTCCCGCCTTGCACTATCAATCACATGATGCATGCACACCATTTGAATGGCAATGTCTAGAAAGGCGGCAACTTTTTAAAAAAGTAATATTTTGAGCCCGTAGTTCAATTTCCCAGCAGCTCCCCTTGCCCCGCAGAACACTTCTAGCATTCCATCTCCTCTACCTGTGGCATTGTTCAGCAGAAAGTGACCTCTTCACAACGAATTTCCATTTGGTATGGCCCTTTCCAGATTTTTCCCTGCCCCTTGTGTTTGTCTTTCATTTGTTCTCCTGTGTGTGTTGCCAGTAGAAGCCACAATTCTGTGGGTACTCTAGGTGGTGCAGAAAGCACCTAGAAGCTGACTAGAGGTTGAAGTGCCGATCAAACTTCAGTTTTGCGCTCTATAAATTCCAATTAGCAGTACTGGGGGTGGTTCAGATTCTGGGGCAGTGCTTTTGGCCAGCAGAGGGTGTCACAAGGCCAGCCTACTTTCCCTTTAAAGCAAACTTGGGTCTCCAGCTGTTTTTGGACTACAACTCCCATCATGCCTAGCTAGCAGGACCAATGGGGAGAGACGATGGGAACTGTAGTCCGGGAACTGCTGGGGACCCAAGTTTGGGAAAGCCTCCTTTAAAGCAACTTTTGCGTTTGGCCCGCAAAGATGGGACCTGTCCACGTTTGTATTTTCTTGTATTTTGTTTTTCTCATGACCTTTGTGCGGTTTTTAAAAAATTCTTAAAAGGGCAAATTGAAAGCGAAATTGTATGGCAAGTAGCAGAAGAATAAAATGTTGCATTTGAAAAAAACACAAAGAAAACCTGGGGGTTGGCCTCCTCCAATATTTAATAGGGGGGTAAAAAGACCCCTATGTTAGGGGACATTCGGCACAGAAACGTGTGTATACCTTTAAGGAGTTTCTGGGTTAATTGGTTGCAGCTGGCTGTGGCTGTAAAAAGGGAAAAGGAGCGTTTTGTAGCCTGCCTGCAGGAACAACGCCCACCAGAGTTTGTGTTTATTATTTTGTAATAAAGTCTTCATTTTAGTTTGGGTTTTTACACCTATGTCTCCTGGAGTCACTCTGTCCTCTGCCACCAGCTGGAAATCTCCCCCTCCAACAGGTTATGGGCCCAGTCCCCAGTCCTGAGTGGGCAGAGACAGGGCATGAAAAGAACCCAGAGACTGGAAGCAACTCAGCGTTTCTCAAGCAGCTGGCTGTGTGAAGGCATCCGCAGGGAGTGTCTGTTTGAGACCAGGAGCTGAACAATTCTTCAAGCCACGTGTGAGTAAGGACTGAGTGGAAAGCTGAACTCAAGGGGGGTGGGCTTCCTATTTTCCAGTAGAGAAACTGAGAGAGTCCAATTATATGTCATGGAGTTTACAGCTGCAGGCATTTTAAAGAAAGAACAATGTTGGAATGTTATTGTTAACCCTCCTGTAAAAGATGAGGAGGATGAAGAAGTAGATGAAGCAGACCAAAGGCTGGAGGACAAAGCCTATGCCAATTTAATTTTGAGTTTAGAGATGTCTCAGTTATCTCATGTGCGAGACCTTGAAACAGCAAGTGAGATTTGGAAAGCACTGAGAGCAATACACATTAGAGACACTGCTGGCAGCAAAATTACTCTAATGAGAGCTCTGTACCGAGCCAGACTAAGTGAGGGTGAATGTGTTTCAACACACCTTCAAAGAATGTGTGATTTATTTTCACATTTCACACAATGAACTTGGGGAACATTTTTCTGAACAGAGAAAGGTTTATATTGTGCTGTCTTCACTTCCTGAGTCATGGGACAATTTAGTGATGACTTTGGAGGCAATTCCAGAAAGCCAATTAACAATGCATTTCTTAACTGGGCGTTTGCTTGATGAGGAGGAAAGACGCCATGAGAGGAAGGCCACAACCCCTCAACGTAACTCCAGAAATGGGAAGCAGTCCAGTAAAAGATATGCAACTGATGGGGGGCGGCAGCCTAAAGACGCTGTTGACCAAACAGAGGAAGCAGCTTTCACAGTCAGAAGATGCTATCGTTGTGGGTCACCTAAGCATTTAGTACGTCTGTGCACTGCGTCTGTGGGAGAAAACACAAGAAAAGGGCGGCCTGTGTTTGCTGGGAAGCGAGGAGACAGGAAGAGTATGTTTCTGCAGCAGTTCGAGGCACCAGTCACGACATTGGACAAGACTGGATTTTAGACTCAGCAGCAACAAACATTTTTGTTAAGTCTGCACAAACCCTTGTAGAAAAGCAGCCTTGTAAGTCTGTAAATGTAGTACTAGCTGATGGAACAGTGCATGAGTCAGCTGGAAAGGGTAGTGTGAATATCAGCTGTTTAAGTACCAAGTACCATGTTTTATGTGTACCAAGTTTTGAAAATAATTTGCTTTCAGTTACAAGCCTTGTTAAGCAGGGATTTAAGGTAACCTTTTCTGGTTCAGGCTGTAAAATAGAGAAAGCTGGAAAAGTGGTTACAGCGTCACTACAAAATGGTTTATTTGTTTTGAAAGACCAGCTAGTAAGTGAGTCTGGGGCATGTGTTACAGCCTGTAATAGAGCCTTGCATGATGAGTGCCAGCATCTGTGGCATCGTCGTTTGGGGTATGCCAATTTCCTCAGTATTACAAAAATGCCAGAATTAAGCAAGGGAATTAAAATGAAAAAATGCTCAGTTTTTTTGGACTGCAATACCTGCAAGGAGTCTAAAAGTAAGCGGGGGTCCTATCCTGAAAGTACTAGAATTAGCAAGAGGCCATTTACTTTAGTACACTCAAACCTTTGTGGGCCATTTGCAGAGTCCGAAGGAGGAGCAAAGTTTTTTTTGGTTCTTGTGGATGATTATAGCCGGTATACTTGGATACACTTGTTAAAACACAAAAGTGAAACTGGTCAACTGATTAAAAATTGGGTCAACTATATAGAAAGGCAATTTCCCTACAAAGTTACCCAGTTGCAGAGTGACCGTGGAGGCGAGTTCATGTCTGAAGCCCTCCAGGTCTGGTTGAAAAAGCGTGGTATTAGTCACCGTAAATCGTGTCCTTTTTCGCCTGAAGAAAATTCAGTTGCAGAACGCAAGATAAGGTCTTTGCAAACAATGCTAGAGTCTATGCTATGTGATTCTGGCTTATCCAGAAATTATTGGGGGGGAAGGAATTCTCTGTGCTAATTACTTACAGAACAGATTGTTTCATTCTACCATAAACAATACCCCTCATTTTTTGCTTTATGGAAAAAAAACCCTTTTTAGACCATGCTAAAACTTTTGGTTGCTGGGCTTGGGTTCACATCCCAAAAGGACAGAGAAGGAAAGGAGAACCCAAGGCAAAGAGACTTAGGTTTGTTGGCTATCAAAGTTGGTCAAAGGGGTATCGTTTTGCACTAGGGCGTGGCAGAGTTGTGATATCAAGACATGCAGAGTTTTGTGAGCAAGATGGTTGGGCTCGTTTACATGGAAATTCAGAAGTTGTGTTATCTTCTGATGATACAGATAAATTTGTGAAATCTGAGGTAGAAAAGCCACAAATTAAAGAAAGTTCTGAAAGAGACAGTGGTGAGAACTCAAGGGATGAGGGTCCCAGTACACAATCTCCTAAAGCTGAACCAATTTCTCCTGAGCAAGATGAATCAGAAAGGGAAGATAGTTCAGAGGGGGAGAGTGTTCAAGTTAGAAGATCACAAAGAAGCAATAAAGGGGGTACCTCAAGAAAGGTTCACTATACAAGAAGTTAAAACTGTTGATGTGAAGAAAGAACCTTGTGATTATGAGGAGGTTTTAAAGCTACCACACCAGGAAATAGTAAGGTGGAAAAATGCAATGAAAGCAGAAATGAAATCTTTGGCAGAGCATAATGTGTTTACCATTGAGCCATTGCCAGAAGGAAAAAAGACAGTGGGCTGTAGATGGGTGTATAAAATAAAACACTTGGCAGATGGTGGTGTTAAGTACAAAGCTAGGCTGGTAGCATGAGGCTTTACTCAAAGAAAAGGTGAAAGCTTTGATGAAACCTTTTCTCCTACTGCAAGGAGTGAAAGTGTACGTTTATTGCTAGCTCTTGCAGCACAACGTGGGTTTAAGGTAAACCATTTTGATATTGAAACAGCTTATCTTAACGCAAATCTGCAAGAAGAAATTTTTATGAATCAAGCACCAGGTTTTGAGGCAGGCGAACAGAATTCTGTATATAGGCTGAACAAAGCAATTTATGGGCTCAAACAGTCAGCCAGAAATTGGAACGAGTGTCTTGATAATGCTTTAAAAAATCTTGGCTTTAAAAGAAGCTTAGCTGATAACTGCTTGTACACTAAAGGAAAGGGAACACGAATTATGTCTGTCTTATGTAGATGATTTGCTATACTCTACAAAAAGTGACAAGCAAGTGGAAAAGTTTGCAGAACAACTAAGAAAGGAATTTAAAGTAAGAGATTTGGGTCCAGTAAAAAATTATCTCGGTCTAGAAATTCAAAGAACAAACGATGGAAGTTTTTTGTTGAGTCAAAAAGATAAAATAATGGAGTTACTTGAAAGAAACAATATGCAAAACTGCAAGGGAGTAAAAACCCCAATGGAAATAGGTTTTTTCAAAAATGAAGGAGAATGCACAGAACCTGTAAATCCTGAAATGTACCATTCAATAGTTGGAAGTTTATTATACATTTCATTGTGGAGCAGACCAGATTTGAGTTATGCAGTTGGAATACTGAGCAGACTAGTAAGCTGTCCTACAGAAAATGCCTGGAAAGGTTTAAAACGTGTTTTCCGGTATTTAAAACAAACACTTGATTATTGTTTGAAATTACCATCTTCAGGGTCTACAAAATTGCAGTGTTATGTTGACAGCGATTGGGCCAACCTGCCTGATAGAAAATCAATTTCTGGAATGGTATTTCAATTTGGGGATTCCTTGATAGGTTGGAAGTCCAAAAAGCAAGGTATCGTGGCCACATCTTCAACAGAGGCTGAATACTGTGCTTTATCAGAGTTGTGTAATGAAATAAAATTTTATGTTCAGATCCTCAAGGATTTAGATACACAATGTGATTATCCAGTTCAAATATGGGAAGACAATCAAGCTGTAATAACTTTGACTGGGTCTGAGCAGTTTAGAAACAAATCCAAACATTTAGAAATTAAATATCAAAATGTGGTTGAAAATGTGAACCAAAACCTGATAATGCTGAAGTATTGTGAGAGCATGCAAAATGTGGCTGATATATTTACAAAAGCACTAACTTTTGAGAAACATGCACAATTAGTGACAAAATTAGGAATTGTTGTGCGTGACGTGTAAATATGTTCTGTAAATGTTTAAAGTACTGTTGTTTCTGTTTCTGTTTGAATGAGAGGGGGTGTTGGGGAACATTCGTCACAGAAACATGTGTGTATACATTTAAGAAGTTTCTGAGTTAATCGGCTGCAGCTGGCCGTTGCTATAAGAGGAAAAAGCTGAGTTTTGTAGCTTGCCTGCAGGAATAACACCCACCAGAGTTTGTGTTTATTTGTTTGGTAATAAAGTCTTGGTTTTAGTTTGGGTTTTTACACCCATGTCTCCTGGAGTCACTCTGTACTCTACCACTGGCTAGAAATTCCCCTCCAACATTCCCTACACCCACAGGTCTCAGGATGCTTGGAAGATAAAAACACAACATTAAAACACAAAACATCACGTGTTAAAATAGCATTAGATGTCAATAAGAAAAAGGCCTGGTTAAAAAGGTGTGGATTTGCCTGGCTCCTAAAGCTGTATAATGGTTTTTCCGACCCTTGTATGGATTCTTTGATGGGAAGTGAGTTGGGAGCTATGACTGAAGCTCTTTCCACATTCCACACACTGATAGGGTTTCTCCCCTGTATGAATTCTGTGATGGGAAGTGAGAGAGGAGCTATGAGTGAAGCTCTTTCCACATTCCACACACTGATAGGGTTTCCCCCCTGTATGAATTCTGTGATGAGAAGTGAGATCGGAGCTCTTCCTGGAGCTCTTTCCACATTCCATGCACTGATAGACTTTCTTTCCAATGATATTTTGTTGATGGGAAGTGGAATGGGAGTTTTGACTGCAGCTTTCTCCACACTCAAAAATTTTACGTGGCTTCTCCTCCCTGGGGATTTTATCATGGTCACCTTTGTTCTAAATTTCCGATTCATCACAATCTGCAATGGAGACAAAAAGGGATTAGAGCCTCAGGAACAAATGGAGAAGAACTGAAAGAAGTTAGGTGTGTGTTCATTACCTGTGTTGTTTGTCATTAACCAACATACCTATTATGAGATTCTGATGAATGGTGCTTTGTTTGATATAAAGTAGTGGTCAAAATTGTGGAAGACTTTGCCTACATGACAGAAGAAAATCATCTGGGTGTATACAAGACTATATGGTGCAATGTAATGGGAAGTTGAGTGCAAGAACTGGTCTAAATGTTAGAATTCTAAGGAAAAAGCCATTGTTATCTCTCCAACAAAAGGTTGAAAGATGAAACCCATGTTAACTGTACAGCGGAACAATGAGACAGTGTTATTTGGAGCAATGAAACCCAAATCTCTTTGCTTGGTAGTGATGGCATGAAATACGCGAGGAGAAGAATCAGAGAAGATTTACATCGTACTTGCATTACACCAACCGTGAAACACCCAAACAGTGTGATGATCTGGGGTTGTATGGCAGCAAAAGGTGTGGGCAGAATTTGCGCCATTAATGGGAATATAAATGCGGAAAAATGCATAAACGAAATACTTGAGCCCAAACTGAAGTGTGCCGCAGGTGATCTTTTCCCAGATACTGAAGCATTTATATATATTTATATATATATATATATATATATATATATAGTAGAGACATCACCTTACCAACAAAGGTCTGTATAGTAAAAGCTATGGTTTTCCCAGTAGTAAGCTATGGAAGTGAGAGCTGGACCATAAAGAAGGCTGATCGCCAAAGAAGGACCATAAAGAAGGCTGATCGCCGAAGAATGGATGCTTTTGAATTATGGTGCTGGAGGAGACTCTTGAGAATCCCATGGACTGCAAGAAGATCAAACCTCTCCATTCTTAAGGAAATCAGCCCTGAGTGCTCACTGGAAGGACAGATCGTGAAGATGACGCTCCAATACTTTGGCCACCTCATGAGAAGAGAAGACTCCCTGGAAAAGACCCTGATGTTAGGAAAGATGGAGGGCACAAGGAGAAGGGGACGACAGAGGACGAGATGGTTGGACAGTGTTCTCGAAGCTACAAACATGAGTCTGACCAAACTGTGGAAGACAGGAGTGCCTGGCGTGCTCTGGTCCATGGGGTCACGAAGAGTCGGACACGACTAAACGACTAAACAACAACATATACATATATATTTATTTTCTATTTCAACAGGATTCAGCTCTATGTCGTGTTGGTGCTGTGTGCAAAAGGTGCATTCAAGATAATGATATTTCACTGCTGGAATGGCCTGGGAATAGCCCACACTTTAGCCCAATCAGAAATCTTTGGAGCCGACTAAAGAAACTTGTTAGTCAGAAGCAACCCAGCAATAAAGCCCAATTAACAGAGGCAATAATTCAGTCTTGGTTTCACATTATTACAGCTGCAGAACTAAAATTTGGTTCACTTCATGGGAAGGCATTGTAAAGCCATAATTAAAGCTAAAGGTTACCAATGGTTACCAAAGGTTTCACGTTTTATCTTTATGACTGCTGTTCTAATAAATACTCCTTCATAAAATTCATTGCATTACATTCTTCATTAAATTATCTTTCCATTGCTATATAATTTTATGGTATTACTCCAGACAAAACTGGTGTTATGAACTATCAAACCTCAGAAATACAGGTGAATATATGAGATAGACTCATGACATGCAAAGCGAGATATGTCAAGCCTTTATTTGTTACAATTGTGATATTTATGGTGTACAGCTGATGAAAACCCCAAATTAACAATCTCAGAAAATTAGAATATTAAATGAAATCAGCAAAACTAGGACTGCAAATAGAGCAATATTGGACCTCTGAGAAGTAGAAGCATGCACATGTAGTCAGTACTTGGTTTGCGCCCCTTTTGCATCAATTACTGCCTCAATTCGGCGTGGCATGGATGCTATCAGCTTGTGGCACTGCTGAGGTGTTATGGAAGACCAGGATGCTTCAATAGCAGCCTTCAGCTCTTCTGCATTGCTCGGTCTCCTGTCTCTCACCTTTCTCTTGGCAATGCCCCATAGATTCTCTATGGGGTTCAGGTCAGATGGGTTTGCTGGCCAATCAAGCACAGTAATCCCATGCGCATTGAACCAGGTTTTGGTACTTTTGGCACTGTGGGCAGGTGACAAAGTCCTATTGGAAAATGAAATCAGCATCCCCATAAAGCTTGTCTGCGGAAGGAGGCATAAAGTGCTCCAAAATCTCCTGGGAGACAGCCATGTTGACCCTGGACTTAATGAAGCACAGTGGACCAACACCAGCTGATGACATGGCTCCCCAAATCAACAAAGACTGTGGAAACTTCACATTGGACTTCAAGCATCTGGCATTGTGTGCCTCCCCATTCTTCCTCCAGACTCTGGGTCCTTCGTTTCCAAGTGAGATGCAAAAGCTTCTCTCATCAGAAAAGAGATTTGCTGCTGTTCCAGATTGGTAGAATCATAGAATCATAGAGTTGGAAGAGACCACAAGGGCCATCGAGTCCAACCCCCTGCCAAGCAGGAAACACCATCAGAGCACTCCTGACATATGGTTGTCAAGCCTCTGCTTAAAGACCTCCAAAGAAGGAGACTCCACCACACTCCTTGGCAAATTCCATTGTCGAACAGCTCTTACTGTCAGGAAGTTCTTCCTAATGTTTAGGTGGAATCTTCTTTCTTGTAGTTTGGATCCATTGCTCCGTGTCCGCTTCTCTGGAGCAGCAGAAAACAACCTTTCTCCCTCCTCTATGTGACATCCTTTTATATATTTGAACATGGCTATCATAAGGCCATTTGAACATGGCCTTAACCTCCTCTTCTCCAGGCTAAACATGCCCAGCTCCCTTAGCCGTTCCTCATAAGGCATCGTTTCCAGGCCTTTGACCATTTTGGTTGCCCTCCTCTGGACACGTTCCAGTTTGTCAGTGTCCTTCTTGAACTGTGGTGCCCAGAACTGAACACAGTACTCCAGGTAAGGTCTGACCAGAGCAGAATACAGTGGCACTATTACTTCCCTTGATCTAGATGCTATACTCCTATTGATGCAGCCCAGAATTGCATTGACTTTTTTAGCTGCCGCTGTTGGCTCATGTCAAGTTTGTGGTCAACCAAGACTCTTAGATCCTTTTCACATGTACTGCTCTCAAGCCAGGTGTCCCCCATCTTGTATTTGTGCCTCTCATTTTTTTTGCCCAAGTGCAATACTTTACATTTCTCCCTGTTAAAATTCATCTTGTTTGTTTTGGCCCAGTTCTCTAATCTGCCAAGGTCGTTTTGAAGTGTGATTCTGTCCTCTGGGGTGTTAGCCACCCCTCCCAGTTTGGTGTCATCTGCAAATTTGATCAGGATGCCCTTGAGTCCATCATCCAAGTCGTTGATAAAGATGTTGAATAAGACCGGGCCCAAGACAGAACCCTGTGGCACCCCACTAGTCACTCTTCTCCAGGATGAAGAGGAACCATTGATGAGCACCCTTTGGGTTCGGTCAGTCAGCCAGTTACAAATCCACTGAGTGGTAGCTGTGAGGAGAACCTGAGCTTACAGGGTTAAACAGCTCAGAGTGTACGCTCTGCCTACTAGTGGGAGGGGGGAACTCCTACGTCAGTTCCGAGAGACTCAAGTCTTTGTTCTGTCTCTCTACTTTCGCTTTTGAGGAGAGAGGACGTGTTTTCGCGATGCTGTTCGCTGTGATAGATAATGGATAGTCTGCTGTAAATAAAACTGTTTTTAGCTGCTAAGATCCTGTGTGGACTTTATTTAAGCACACTGAAGAATGCACTGGAGTGTTTTGCAGCTTCCTCTAGCCGCTGTTGATCTCAACTCTGCTATGCTCAGAAGTATCGGATTTTTGGAATGCAGAGGCCCGCGATGGGGAAGCGTGCCGGACCTCAGGCTTATCTGAGCAATAAATCAATTTATCTAACAGGTTATGGGGGCAGTAAATGCAATTAGAGGAAGCCTGCTTTGATGTGCTGTGTGCTTAAGAAGGCTGAGAAAACTGAGAAGCTGTTTTTTTGCTGTCGGAAGGCAAAAGTCCTGTTTTGAGGCTTCGCCTGGGATAAAAGCAGGGAAGCTGGATGCAATGCTGTGTGCTGCAAGGAGCCACTGGAGGCCTCTCCTTTGAAGCTGGCTGGTACGCGTGAGTACTTCAAAGCCCCAATGGGAGCACTGGGGGAGGAGATGGCTGAGCTCCAGGACTTTTATGATGTCCCGTTTGAAAAGCTCACAACCCAGTCCTGGGATATCTGGGTTAGAAGAGTCAGGGGGTGGTTTTTGGCCACAGGGTTCTGGGGTATAGCCCAGAAGGAGCCGTCCCCACCCATGCCAGTTGCTGCTGAAGAAGGAGGAGCAGAACTGGAGGCTGCATTGCTGGAAGACAGAGAGCTGAGAATGCAAAGGGAGCTCTGCATGTTGAGAGCAAGCGTGGACGCTATGCTGTTGCCCCACCTGGAGGGCATTGAGTCGGCTCAGGCCGCGTGGCAGGTGCTGAGGAGTCTGTGTGAGACCTCAGCAGGAGCCCAGGGCCGGGAGAAAGCCGAGAGCAGGCAGGAAGCTGAGAGCCCAGGGGGGCTGCTGGCCATGTTCCTGAAGTTACAGCTGGGAGTAGCTGCTTTGTCTCCGAGGGGCCGTGTGATGTTGAGGCCTACAACCAGAGTGCTGGGGAGCGTGCAGGCCCAGGCTGTGCACCCGAAGGTGGGGGTGCAGGGAACAAAGAAATGGCTGAAGAGGGAGCTGTGAGAGCTGTTGCTACGCGTCGCCGCTGTTATCGCTGTGGCTCCCCCTCCCATCTGGTGAGAGAATGTCCAGTGGAGGAACAGCCGAAGGCCGTCTCCCGTAGCAACCAGATAAAGAGCTCTTCTTCAAAGCGTGGGAAAGGCAAGCCGAAGGCAGCTGGCAGAGACACTGAACGTAAACATTTGGCTGCCTCTATGGCTGTAGTCAAGAGTTGTCAACAGGATGCTGTGTTGGCTTTTGTAATAGACAGTGGAGCGTCTCATCATCTCGTGCCATCTGGTGGATTCCTGGAGAACTGCACCTCTGTAAAATCTGGGAAGACTGTCTGTTTAGCAGATGGGACTCGACACCCACTCACGCAGAGTGGCTCACTGTTTTGTTCTTTCTTGCAGGACTCAATCCAGGCTTTTGTTGTTCCAGGACTGTCCTGCGCGTTGCTGTCTGTCAGTGCACTTCTTGCTGAGAACTACAGAGTGTGTTTTGAGAACAATAAGTGTTCTATTTCCAAGAATGGACAGCACCTAGTCAGTGTTGAATGTAAAGACAGGTTGTTTGTGATAAATGCTTCTGTTGCAGGTCCAGATGACACGGATGACACGGAGGAGGCTCAAGCGCAGTGTGCCAATGTTCCAGTTCATGATGCGTGTCAACATCTCTGGCACAGACGTATGGCACACGTGTCGTGGGGGTCGGTGAAAAGGATCCCAGAGTATACGCAAGGGTGCAAAATGAAATCATGTGCTAAGTTTCTAGATTGCAGAGCGTGCAAGTCCGCAAAGGTGAAAACGTGCACATACCCTAGGTCTGAGAGGGTGACCACTAGGGCTTTTCAATTAATTCATGCAGATTTGTGTGGACCGTTTTCTGTGAGCAGTTTGGGCGGAGCCAAATTTTCGCTGGTTCTGATTGATGACCATACGAGGAATTCTTGGTGTTTTTTGCTTCAACGCAAAGATGAAGCTGCGCCGCTAATCAAAGACTGGATTGCGGCTGTGGAACTGCAGTTTTCCACGGGTGCAAAACTTTCAGAGCGATCGCGGTGGGGAATTCACCGGGTCTGCACTGCAAAGTTTCTTCCGCAAAAAGGGGATTCAACACAGGTTGACTTCTCCACACAGTCCCCAACAGAATGGGATCGCGGAACGCAGGAACAGGACTCTAGGGGAGATGTCCGCAGCTCTTTTGTTTGATGCCGGACTCCCACAGCGTTTTTGGGGGGAGGCTTGGCGAACGGCCAACTTCATTCTGAACAGGTCGTTCAATTCAGTGGTAGGTGACACCCCGTATTTCTTGCTCCATGGCAAGAAACCGAAAGTGCACTACTTCCGCGTTTTTGGCTGTGAGGCTTGGGTCCTCATACCAAAGGCCAAATGCAAGAAAGGTGAACCCAGGTCCCAAAAGATGATTTTTTGTGGGTATGAGCCAGGGACCAAGGGGTGGAGGTTTGCGTATCCGTCAGGGAATCAGTCCAGGATTCTGCTCAGCAACAGTGCTGAATTCTGTGAGCAGAGTGGCTGGGCAAGGATACATGGGAACCCTGACATCCTGTCAGAGAGTCTGCTAGACTCTGCTGATGAAGGAGAGGAAGAGGTTGAACCTGCTACTGAGGCTCAGAGTCCAGGCCCAGTGCAGGCAGAGGGAGAACTTCTCCCAAGGCTGTGAAGAGTGAGCAACGCAGTGCTCCATCTTCCCCACAGGTTCGGCTGAGAAGTCCAGAAGGCGCAGTAAGTCAGAGGGGAGCTCTCTGATGCCAAGGACGTTCTGGCTGGCCCTAGTGGGTCAGAGGGGTTCCTGAAGTAGTGCTGCGCCGTTCAACGCGGACGACCAAGGGAAACCTCCTGAAAGGTTTGCCGTCACTAGTGTGTGGGTCGGAATGGCACAGTGTGAACCCGAGAGTTTTGAGGATGTTCAGAAACTGCCTCAGGAAGAAGCCAGGAAATGGCATGAGGCGATGCAGAAGGAGATGAACTCAATGGAGTCTCTAGGTGTGTTCTCCCTCACGAAGTTGCCGGTGGGTGAAAAGGCAGTGGGTAGCCGCTGGGTTTACCGTCTTAAGCCCACAGCGGCAGGAGAACCGCAGTATAAGGCCAGATTAGTGGCGAGAGGATTCACGCAGCGCAGGGGGTTGCATTATACGGAGATTTATGCGCCCACGTGTAGGAGTGAGTCTCTACGCTTGGTCTTGGCCATCGCTGCACAAAGAGGTTTGCTGGTGCATCACTTTGATGTGGATGTTGCTTACTTGAACTCAGACCTCCAGGAGGATCTGTACATGCTTCCTCCTCCAGGGTTTGAGGGCAATGAGCGAGGTACTGTGTGGAAACTTCACAAGTCAATTTACGGCCTGAAGCAGTCGGCCAGGAATTGGAACTTGTGCCTGAATGAAGCTTTGGAGAAGCTAGGTTTCAGGAAGAGTCTTGCTGACAGTTGCCTGTTCCTTAGAGGATCAGGAGACTCACAGGAACTGGTGTTGTTTTATGCTGATGACATCATCCATGTTGGAAAGGCAGACAAACAGGTGCAGAAGTTTGCCAAAGAGCTTGGGAAACGGTTTCAGCTCAAGGACCTGGGTGCAGTAAAGATCTACCTAGGCGTCCAGATAGCGAGAACTGAGGATGGTAGCTTCTTGCTCAGTCAGAAAGGCAAGATTGAACAGTTGCTGGAGAAGTTCAGAATGTCCGATTGTGCAGGAGTTCGAACACCCATGGAGACGAACTTCGTGAAAGATAGCCAGCAAGCAGAAAGTGCTGAGTTTGAGAATGCTGAGATCTTTCAGTCAGCTCTAGGTAGTCTGTTGTATCTGTCCCAATGGAGCAGACCAGACATTGCCTTTGCTACCAACCTGCTAAGTAGGGAAGCGTCAAAGCCCAGTGTGAGTGCTTGGCACGGTATCAAGCGGGTACTGCGCTACCTGCAGCATACCAAAGACTTCTGTCTTAAGCTGCCAGCTGAAGGTGAGGCGAAGCTCACATGCTATGCGGACAGTGACTGGGCGAATTCGCAGGACCGCAAGTCTGTGTCTGGGTTGGTGATAAAGTTTGGGAAGTCACTAGTTGGGTGGAAGTCCCGGAAGCAAAGTCTCATTGCGCTGTCTTCTACTGAGGCTGAATTCAGTGCACTGTCAGATTTGTGCCGAGAACTAGAGTTCTATAGATGCTTGGTGCAAGAGATCTATGGGGATTGTAGCTTGCCCATCACGGTTTGGGAAGACAATCAACCCTGTTTGAAGTTGGCTGAATCTGCGCAATTTAAGGCGAGAACCAAGCATCTGGACATACGTTTCCGAAATGTGTGTCAGAGTGTTCAGTCAGGTTTGATACGACTGAAGTACTGTGCCAGTCACAGTAACCTGGCCGATGGATTTACCAAACCTTTAAGCTTCCAGCGTCATGGGGAGTTTTGTGGTGGTTTGGAGTTGGGGGTAAGTTCTGTACTTACTGTCCCCACAGTAGCGCAGAGCGAGAGGGGGTGTGAGGAGAACCTGAGCTTACAGGGTTAAACAGCTCAGAGTGTACGCTCTGCCTACTAGTGGGAGGGGAACTCCTACGTCAGTTCCGAGAGACTCAAGTCTTTGTTCTGTCTCTCTACTTTCGCTTTTGAGGAGAGAGGACGTGTTTTCGCGATGCTGTTCGCTGTGATAGATAATGGATAGTCTGCTGTAAATAAAACTGCTTTTAGCTGCTAAGATCCTGTGTGGACTTTATTTAAGCACACTGAAGAATGCACTGGAGTGTTTTGCAGCTTCCTCTAGCCGCTGTTGATCTCAACTCTGCTATGCTCAGAAGTATCGGATTTTTGGAATGCAGAGGCCCGCGATGGGGAAGCGTGCCGGACCTCAGGCTTATCTGAGCAATAAATCAATTTATCTAACAGTAGCATAGTCAAGCCCGCATTTTACCAGCTTCTTTACAAGAATATCATGGGCCACCTTGTCAAATGCCTTGCTGAAATCAAGGTAGGCTACATCCACTGCGTTCCCTTCATCTACCAGGCTTGTAATTCTGTCAAAAACGAGATCAGGTTAGTCTGACATGACTTATTTTTCAGAAATCCATGCTGACTATTGGTGATCACAGCATTCCTTTCTAGGTGCTCACAGACTGTTTGCTTAATGATCTGCTCCAGAATCTTCCCTGGTATTGATGTCAGACTGACTGGGCGGTAATTATTTGGGTCCTCTCTTTTCCCCTTTTTGAAAATAGGGACAACATTTGCCCTCCTCCAGTCTGCCGGGACTTTGCCTGTTCTCCAGGAATTCTCAAAGATGACTGCCAGTGGTTCTGAGATCACATCTGCCAGTTCTTTTAATACTCTTGGATGCAGTTCATCTGGCCCTGGAGACTTGAATACATCTAAACTAGCCAAGTATTCTTGTACTATCTCCTTAGTTATTCTGGGCTGTGTTTCCTCTGCTGAATCATTTGCTCCAAATTCTTCAGGCGGGCATTGTTTTCTTTATCGGAGAAGACTGAGGCAAAGTAGGCATTGAGGAGTTCAGCCCTTTCTGTGTCCCGTTTGCATTTCACCATCTTCTCCTCTGAGTGACCCCACTGTTTCTTTGTTCTTCCTTTTGCTACGGACATACCCATAAAAGCCTTTTTTTGTTGCTTTTAACCTCTCTAGCAAGCCTGAGTTCATTCTGTGCTTTAGCTTTTCTGACTTTGTGTCTACATGTGCTGGCTATTTGTTTGAATTCCTCTTTGGTAGTTTCCCCCCTTTTCCATTTTTTGTACACATCTTTTTTTAATCTTAACTCAGTTAAAAGTTCTTTAGATAGCCACCCTGGCTTCTTTAGGCACCTTCCATGTTTCCGTCTCATTGGTATTGCCTGAAGTTGTGCTTTAGTATCTCCCTCTTAACAAACTCCCAGCCATCATGAACTCCCTTTCCTTTTAGTATTACTGTCCATGGGATCTCACCCAGCACTTCCCTAAGTTTTATGAAGTCGACTTTCTTAAAGTCAAGAAATTGAGTCCTAGTATGCTTGGCTGCTCCTTTCCGCTGTATAGTAGACTTCAGAAGAGCATGATCACTCGCGCCTAATGATCCTTCCACTTCTACCCCACTAACCAGGTCATCAACATTGGTTAGGACCAGATCTAAAATGGCTGTTCCTCTTGTTGCTTCTCCCACTTTCTGGACAATGAAGTTGTCTGCAAGGCCAGTGAGGAATCTGTTTGACCTTATGCTCTTGGCTGAGTTTGACATCCAACAAATATCCGGGTAATTGAAGTCCCCCATTACTACTATCTCCCTTCCTTTTGCATGCTTGGCCATCTGTTCCAGGAAGGCATCCTCTATGTCCTCTGTTTGGCTTGGGGATCTATAGTAAACTCCCACAATGAGGTCTCTGTTATTCTTCTCTCCCTTAATTTTGACCCAAATGCTCTCACTTTGGCTTTGAGGTTCTAAATCTTGGATCTCTTCACAGGTATACACATCCCTGGCATATAACGCCACTCCTCCTCCTTTCTTGTCTGGTCTGTTTCTCTTAAATAGATTGTATCTCTCCATTATTACATTCCAATCGTGGGACTTATCCCACCAGGTTTCAGTGATGCCTATTATGTCATATTTAGTTTGCTGTACCAAGAGCTCAAGCTCATCTTGTTTATTTCCCATGCTTTGCGCATTAGTGTACAGACATTGAAGTCCATTAATCATTCCCCCGTGCCTCTTATTTAAGGATTTTTTCCTCCCACCACAGGTCTGCGTGCTGTTTGCTCCATTTGGTCTATGACATTTGGATGATCATCTTCATCAATTGAAAGACTCCTACCTTCAGGAGCACTGTCTCCCTCCCCCACATTAGTCACTTTAAAGTCCTCCTGATGAGGTTTCTGAGATTTTTGGCAAAAACATTTCTCCCAACCGTTGTGAGGTGCAGCCCATCACTTGCCAGAAGTCCATCTTCAAGAAACTGCAGTCCGTGATCTAAGAATCCAAACCGTTCCTGTTTACACCATTTGCGAAGCCAGCTGTTCACTTCCACTATTTTTCCTCTCTCCCTGGGCCACGTCGTTCAACTGGGAGGACAGATGAGATGACAATTTGTGCATTTAATTGCTTCAACTTCCTGCCCAGAGCCTCGTAGTCCCTTTTGATCTTCTGGAGGCTATTGCTTGCAGTGTCATTGGTTCCCACATGAACCAAGAGGAAGGGGTATTTGACAGTGGGTTTTATGATTCCTTGCAGTCGTTCAGTTACATCTTGGATCTTAGCCCCGGGGAGACAGCACACTTCCCGAGACATCTTGTCAGGCCCACAGATCACTGCTTCTGTTCCCCTCAGTAGGGAATCCCCTATCACCACTACACGCCTCCTCTTAGGTTTGGTCGGGGTTCTTCCGTGAGCTGTCCGTTCCAAGGTCGCCTGCACATTCCCTGAGGACTGACTTTGCTGCTCGTCTTCATATACCTGATCGACTGTAATGAGGAGAGATCCTCAAATGGAGTCTGCTCTTCGTCTTCCATGCTAGGGGAGAGGACCTCAAAGCGATTGTGTATTTCTAAACAATCAGAGCGAACCCTGGGCCTCCTACTTCTTTGAGTCACGTTTCTCCATTTATCTGGCTCCTGTGTTGGTGAACTAGCCTCCTTCTCAGGTGAGTCCCCTGTCTCCTCCTTGGTGGAGACGGTGTGCTCTGTTGCTTCCAAGAAGAGCTCCAGCTCTCTAATTCTTTGGAGCGTAGCTACACGTTCCTCCAGTTGCTGGACTTTGTCTTTTAAGAGGGCAATCAACATGCAATTGCTGCAGGTAAAGCTGGCTGCAACCTTTGGCAAGATGGCAAACATTGCGCAGGAACTGCAGGCGACTGCAGCTGTTCCCTCCCCCTGCAAGGTCTGATAAGCTCCTCCCACAGCTAATCACCTGCCTCAACAGAAACCCTGCCCCCTCTGACCTTTGCACAGGGAGAGCAGCTAATCAGCCACAAAGAAAAACACACAGAGATAGGTGGTAGATAGGTGAGGCTGCTGATCCCTTATTTTCGAGGCTCCTGATCCCTTATTTTCAAATCTGAAAGTTGACAGCTATGGACTCACCAGATCCCAGGAGGGGGCTGCGATTTGGCACTTGCAGGAGGGACACCAAAGCAACCCCCCCCCTTTCTTGCAGGAAAGGACTGGGGAGGGAGGGGCCTTGGCTCTGGAGGACCAGCCCCCTCTTGCTTCCTGTCCTCTCTAGGAAGGCAGCTCACTTCCCTTTAACTCTTGCAAAGCCGAGTCCTCCCTCGCTCAGCCCTCTCTCAGATTTTTATCATTTTTTATGCATTTAGGGGGGCAGCTGCCCCCCCCGGCTACGCCCATGCCCAGATATCCTTTTGGGGGTGAGGCTCTTGGCCAGAAACCAGAGGAAGGGCCTGCAGGAAAAAGGGCTTTGCAGGAGGCAAGGAAGCTCCTCCTAGAATTCAGGAGTGGAGAGATAGGAGGGGATCCCAGGGTCATCTAGTCCAACCCGAAGCAAGAGGGGGCCGGGTCTAGTTCCCTAAACAGGCAGCCCTGTTTAGGGAAGCTTTTAATGTTTAATAGGTTATTGTATTTTAGTGTTTTATTGGAAGCCGCCCAGAGTGGCTGGGGAAACCCAGCCAGATGGGCAGGGTATAAATAATGATAATAATCATATAATAATAATTTATTATTTGTACCCCGCCCATCTGGCTGGGTTTCCCCAGCCACTCTGGGCGGCTTCCATAGAAACCAAAAATACACTAAAATATCACAGATTAAAAACTTCCCTGAACAGGGGTGCCTTAAGATGTCTTCTGAATGTCAGGTAGTTATTTATCGCTTTGACATCTGATGGGAGGGCGTTCCACACGGTGGGCGCCACTACCGAGAAGGCCCTCTGCCTGGTTCCCTGTAGCTTTGCTTCTCGCAATGAGGGAACCACCAGAAGGCCCTCGGCGCTGGACCTCAGCGTCCGGGCAGAACGATGGGGGTGCAGACGCTCCTTCAGGTATACTGGGCCGACACCATTTAGGGCTTTAAAGGTCAGCACCAGCACTTTGAATTGTGCTTGGAAACGTACTGGGAGCCAATGTAGGTCTTTCAAGACCGGTGTTATGTGGTCTCGGCGGCTGCCCCCAGTCACCAGTCTAGCTGCCGCATTCTGGATTAGTTGCAGTTTCCGGGTCACCTTCAAAGGTAGCCCCACGTAGAGCGCATTGCAGTAGTCCAAGAGGGAGATAACCAGAGCATGCACCACTCTGGCGAGACAGTCCGTGGGCAGGTAGGGTCTCAGCCTGCGTACCAGGTGGAGTTGGTAGACAGCTGCCCTGGATACAGAATTGACCAGCGCCTCCAAAATGACTCCCAGGCTGCGCACCTGGTCCTTCAGGGGTAGTTACCCTATTCAGGACCAGGGAGTCCTCCACACCAGCCCGCCCCCTGTCCCCCAAAAACAGTACTTCTGTCTTGTCAGGATTCAACCTCAATCTGTTAGCCGCCATCCATTCTCCAACCGCCTCCAGGCACTCACACAGGACCTTCACTGCCTTCACTGAATTAATTATTATTATTATTATTATTATTACAACCCCCAGCAATGCAGGAATCTCAGCTAAAGGATGCATGGCAGATGGCCGTCCGATCTGTGCTTAGAAACCTCCAAGGAAGGAGAGTCCACCACCTCCCAAGGGAGACCTTTCCCCTGCCAAACTGCTCTTAAGATGTCCCTCAAGGCAGCGGGTCCTGAGTTCCAGCACTGCTGAAATAATCACACTCAGCACTCGGCCAGAAAAAATTACAATGTGAAAAACTTTATAAGAATAATTCAAAACATCAAAACTAACAAACTTAAGTCTCTGAAAGTCCTTAAATCAATCACGGTGGCAGACTTTACCCGGCAGAGAACAAGTTGAGCACTGTTCCAGAGTACTTTTCATTCTTATGTAATTATATCTATTTGAAAAAAGATTGGTTAATGAAGAAATGACATAGCTTTCTAATTTCGAGTGTTGAACTAATTGGCTGATGAAGAATTCAATGAAACAGTAGTTGTTATCTGGAAACACACTGTTCATCAGAGTTCAGAGTTGGACTTGAGAACTGGACATTTGCTGATTATACAAAGTTTCACGAAGACAGGAGTGCCTGGCGTACTCTGGTCCATGGGGTCACGAAGAGTCGGACACGACTAAACGACTAAACAACAACAACAAACAACAACAAAGTTTCACAGCTTCTTCTCCACCGGGGAAAGTCTGTCACCATGATTCATTTAAGGACTTTCAGAAATTTTCAGAGACTTCAGTTTGTTATTTTTGATGTTTTGAATTATTCCTATAAAGTTTTTCACATTGTAATTGTTTTTGGCCATTGTGTTGCTTTTGATATAGCTGACTCATATTTTGCAACACAGAAATAATTGCACTGGCTACCAAGGAGGTACCAAGCGAAGTTCAAAATAAATCATATTCTCATCATGAATAACCAAAACTTTCTTAGGCATGTTCCTATGCAAACATACAATAGTATGCAATTTCCCCTTCCAGAAATGCTTACTTGCTCATTCAATGGACTGAAAAAGGATGGTGGTTGTTATTATTTTTTACATTGATATACCACCCTTCATCAAGAGCTCTCAGGGACGTTTAAAACATAGAACATATTAAAAGTAGACAAATGATGCATCACCTCAAATTCTTAAAGGGAGGGAGATGCTCAGAGTCCAACCAAAAGTCCCCCCCCCCGAAATCCATAAAAAATAATAAGAATCTGAGGATCTGCCAAGCGCGAGAGGGCTGAGCTGGAGGGACTCGGCTTTGCAAGGGTTAAAGGGAAGTGAGCTGCCTTCCTAGAGAGGACAGGAAGCAAGGGGGGGCTGGTCCTCCAGAGCCAAGGCCCCTCCCTCCCCAGTCCTGTCCTTGCTTTGGGGTCTCTCCTGCAAGGGCTGCTTCGCTGTCCCTCCTGGGATCTGGTGAGTCTCCTCTCTCTCTGGGATCTGGTGGGGGTCCCAGGGCTGCAGCAGGGAGGCCTGGGGGCCGGATCTGCTCCTGCAGGGGGGGGACCCCAAGTCAGGGAGGAGAGGGTCCTGCCAGGGAGGGGCCAGGTCTGCAACGCTCTCCTTCCTGCAGATCAGAGCATCCCAAACTCATTTGACCCTCCTCCCCCCCCTTCAGAAAAAATCTCCCTTCTTTAAACAAAGGAGTCCCTGGGACTTTAACTCTGTGTGACGTCGCTCAGCCTCATTGCACAACAGAGGTAATGTGTGCAAGTGGTTTTCCAAAGCTGAACGAGGAGGTGGACTAGTCCGCCCCCCCCCAAAAAAAAACGGGCAGGAAGGAAGGAAAAGTAGGAAAGAGAGGCCAGGAATAAAGAGAGGGATCCCAGCCCATAGTCTGGCTGCTGCATTGCAAAACAGTTTGTGTTAAGCTATCTAATAGAATATTAAAAAATTCAATGGAGATGTCTTTGACCCCGCCCACTTGGCCCTCAGGGGTTGGCCAGATACATTCCTGGCCCTCAGAAGAGAGAAAAAGAGCTCTCACCCCACGAATCTGTCTGGACAGCGGCAGAGATTGCAGAAAAGGGGACAGAAGCAGGGAGTGGAGGTGGGGTGAGGGTGGGGGGGGCAGCAACTCCAGAGGACCCCCAGGTCAGGACCCCCACTAGAGAAAAGCATCCATTTATCACAAGATACAAATGACTCCCTTGTCAGTCACTTCTGACTTCATGCATTGACTGGAAGGCAGCAGAAACCAGGTTGATTAATCTGACAGAAATCCCTTCCGTTGCCTCCACATTCTGCATTGCTAGAAGGCTAGAGATTTATTTCTTCTCCTCTTCCTCTTTCTTCTCAGAAAGATAGCTCATGGTCTGGGATGCGGTGCAGTCCAGCCCTGGTTCCCAGCAAGACTCATCCATGCTTGCTCAGGGAACCATTTCCCCCCCTGTCCTACAAATTCTGTAACAGAACAATGTATTTGCTTTGTAGGATTTGCTAGAGCTTCTCATTTAGACGGGCAGAACTTGGCAGAAGACCAAAGGGTTCCTTCCGATCTCTCAGAGGCTTCCTGAGAGCACAGATGGATGAGCAAGACTCAGCTGGCCCCGAAGCAGGAAGAGGCCATGCCAGCCAAACTGGGAGCAGTGGGGGATTCTGGGAAAACTCTGTGCAGAAGATCCATGGTGAGGTGGACACCCTCCGCTCAGAGGTGCAGAGCCAGCAGTTGAGGCAGTTCTGCTGCCAGGAGGCCAAAGGACCCCGAGAGGTTTGCAGCCGACTCCACCACCTTGACCATCAGTGGCTGAAGCCAGAAAGGCACACGAAAGCTGAGATGCTGGACCTGGTGATCTTGGAGCAGTTCCTGGCTGTTCTTCCACCGGAGATGGAGAGCTGGGTGAGGGACTGTGGAGCGGAGACCAGTTCCCAGGCGGTGGCCTTGGCCGAAGGTTTCCTCCTGAGTCAGGCAGAGGAGAGAAAGCAGGAACAGAGTAAACAGGTGAGAGAGACTTTCCTCTGGATACTCCCAAGGGGTTCCAAACAGGACAGAGAACATCCCATAATGGTCTGCTGATGGCCCATCCTTTTTCTGGGAAGGCATCCATGGAATGAGATCTCGTACCCTTCAAGTCTTTGTTATTCTCTTTCTAGTATTTCTCCCCATTCTCTGTTTTGAATCCTTGTTTCTTTCTCAGGGAAAGGATCTCTTTGCAGAAATGGACCTGGATTCCTGTGAGGCAGAGAGGCCTCCGTTGGACACCAGAGAGAGGCCACTGGGTAAGGAGGAAGGTGGTTTTTCCCCATTTGGTCCCATTCTGTTGGTTTTCCAACTCATCTGAGGATTCCTTTCATCTTGTTTTGGGGGGAGACAGTTGGGAAGAAGGATCCAGAGGAGGGGAGATGTATTTCTGCACAACTAACTTATGAAATGGGCACAAACGTCCAAATACTCTCAGTAGGTAAGTCCTTCTCAAAGGCCCATCTGTAGTTAGAGATGCCCTGTTTCACCTGTGAGAGAAGCAGGCACTCCTGGCATCCTGCTTACCTTTTTTCTCTTGCAGGTGGCAGAAGGATGCCGGCAAGACCTCCTGATCCGCCTTTTCATGGGGGCAGAAGGGAAGCAGCGGCTGTGGAACCAGATCAGGTCAGGGAAGCTGCCTTGTGGGGACAGAGGCCGAGGGATGGAGCAATGTCATGGACTGGTTGGGCACAGAGGAATGGTGGGAGGAAGCAGCCGGGGAACCAGGAAGGGAAGATGGCTGAGAGCCGAAGGAGTGGAGGTGGAGGAAGGATGAGCGGTCAGAGGAAGAAGAGGGAAAAGACTGGGAAGAGGAGGTGTCAGAAGCTGAAGGGGAAACAGGGCTTAGTGAGCTGGGAGACTCTGTGGCAGAAAGCAGTGCAGAATCAGAGGCAGAAGAGGAAGGAGGCAAGTGGGAGAGGAAGGTCGAGAGGCTGAGGTGAGTCAGGAGAAGGAGGAGCCACCGGTGGCTCCCTCTCCTTTGCCAGAAGCCGCCCTCCCTGCTTGTCTCTCAGAGTCAGGAGATGAAAATAGGCTTATTTTAATTGTCTATTGATCACTGAATGCTAAAATTGTTTTCTAAGCAGTTGACAAACAAGAACAAACAGTGGCCTAGATTCACCAAACCAGCCCTATCGGATGAACAATGGGGCCTGCCCCCCATTCCTCCCCCTCTCCATGCCGCCCTGAACCCCTTGAATTTGGCTCTAGGGCATTGGGAGGGAACCTTCCTAGAACAGCTCACTAGGAGAGGAGAAAGTGGATCCTTCCATCAGGCAAACTGGAATGCTTGCGTAGGCAGAATGACTTGGAAAACACAAGGCGGAGTAACACCTATTTGCACGAAGACAAATACCCATAATTAAAACGCAGAATAAAATAAGCACCCATAATTAAAATGTGCTGCAAAACAATCCTATTGAAACAACGGAATTTACAGGAAGGAAACAACAGAGCATTGTGGAGCAGATCATATTTCTGCTGTCTCAGAGGAGGACATTTCCCTTTTTTTTTTTTTAGGGTCCAGTGTGCTTTGAAGATGTCGCTGTTGGTTTCACAGACGAGGAGTGGGCGTTGCTGGATCCTGACCAGAGAGCTCTGCATAAGGATGTCATGGAGGAGAATCGTGGGATCGTGGCCTCTCTTGGTAAGGCTCCCTGTGGGATCGTCATACCTGCCTGGAAATTCAAAAAATACGTCTATAGACCAGCCTCACATATTTTCACAGAGCTCAATAGTGGCCCCTATAACACCTGGGAACCTAACACCCCCACAATGAACAGTAAATTACAGTTTTCTCTTTGAACAATCTTCCTCAGATTATTCCTTTTTCTACCACGATTGGGCTGGTCTAAACTGCCCAGGCCATCTTCAATGTCAGCTTCAGAATTGTTAGGAAAGATAAGTAGCTTCAGGTTTTCTGTTTTTGCTCCTGTCAGTCTTGGGTTGACCAAAGAGACGACTGACATTGGAGATGGAGGGATGCCATGACTGGGCCAAACAAAATTCATCCCAGAGAAGAGCAAGGCTTACTGAATTTCAGGTAGAAGTAGCAGTGGTGGTGATGATGATGATGATGATGATACAGTGGTACCTCGGTTTACAAACTTTCCGGAACAGGACTGTTCTTAAATCAAGGTATCACTGTAGTAATAATAATAATTTTTGTTTATACCCTGCCCATCTGGCTGCGTTCCCCCAGCCACTCTGGGCGGCTTCCAACACACATATAAAAATGAAACATAAATAATAATAATCTGATCCCATATATAAAGAACTTTAACTTTAAAATGAACAACTTCTACTAGTGGCCAAAATTGTGGAAACCTTTTGTGAAAAGTGTATTTCTGAGGTTTGATGGCTCATAACACCACTTTTGTGTGGAGTAATACCATAAAATTATATAGCAATGGAAAGATAATTTAATGAAGAATGTAATGCAATGAATTTTATGAAGGAGTATTTATTAGAACAGCAGTCATAAAGAAAAAATGTGAAACCTTTGGTAACCATTGGTAACCTTTAGCTTTAAGTACGGCCTTACAACGCCTTCCCATGAAGTGAACCAAGTTTTTAGTTCTGAAGCTGTAATAATGCCAAACCAAGACTGAATTATTGTCTCTGTTAATTGGGCTTTATTGCTGGGTTGCTTCTGAATAACAAGTTTCTTTAGTCGGCTCCAAAGATTTCTGATTGGGTTAAAGTGTGGGCTATTCAGTATGGACTAAAGTGTGGGCTATTCAGGTTGCCATCAGTATGCTGATGACACCCAACTCTATCTGTTGATGGATGGCCATTCTGACTCGGCCCCAGACACACTGACCAGGTGTTTGGAAGCTGTGGCTGGATGGTTACGTGGGAGCCAGTTGACGCTAAATCCTTTGAAGACAGAGGTCCTGTGGCTGGGACGGGACGATATGGGATTGGGGGGGCAACTCCCATCTCTTGTGGGGGCGTAATTAGTGCCAGCACCGTCCGTTAAGAGTTTGGGTATAATCTTCGACACCTCCCTTTCTGTGGAGGCGCAGATTGCAGCTATAACAAAGGCGGCATTTTTCCATCTTTGCCAAGCTAAGCAGTTGGCTCCTTACCTCTCTCGCCCTGACCTAGCCACTGTGATCCATGCGACGGTCACCTCCAGACTGGATTATTGTAACTCGCTCTACGTGGGGCTGCCCTTGAGACTGACCCAGAAACTCCAGCGGGTGCAGAATGCTGCAGCGAGACTCCTTACGGGGTCTTCGCTGCGAGATCACATTCACCCGGTGCTATACCAGCTGCACTGGCTCCCGGTGGAGTACAGGATCAGGTTTAAGGTGCTGGTTTTAACCTTTAAAGCCCTATACGGCCTAGGACCCTCGTACCTACGGGACCGCCTCTCCTGGTATGTCCCACAAAGAAACTTACGGTCTTCAAATAAAAACATCTTGAAGGTCCCAGGCCACAGAGAGGTTAGGCTGGCTTCAACTAGAGCCAGGGCTTTTTCGGCTGTGGCTTAGATCTGGTGGAACACTCTGTCACAAGAGACTAGGGCCCTGCAGGACTTGACATCTTTCCGCAGGGCCTGCAAGACAGAGCTGTTCCACCAGGCCTTTGGCCAGGGCGCAGCCTGACTCCCTCCTTCGGCAATCTTCGCGGAGCTCTGGCCCAATGGTTGCCATTGGTTTGATTTGAATTAATTTTATAATGAATGATTTTAGAGTGTTGTGTTGTACTGTTGTACTGTTTTATTGTTGTTAGCTGCCCTGAGCCTGGCTTCGGCTGGGGAGGGCGGGATATAAATAAAAATTATTATTATTATTATTATTATTCCCAGGCCATTCCAGCAGTGAAATATCATTATCTTGAATGTACCTTTTGCACACAGCAGCAACATGACATAGAGCTGAATCCTGCTGAAAATATATAAATGCTTCGGTATCTGGGAAAAGATCACCTGCGGAACACTTCAGTTTGGGCTCACGTATTTCCTTTATGCATTTTCCCGCATTTATATTCCCATTAATGACGCAAATTCTGCCCACACCTTTTGCTGCCATACAACCCCAGATCATCACACTGTCTGGGTGTTTCACAGTCGGTGTAATGCAAGTAGGATGTAAATCTTCTCTGATTCTTCTCCTCTTCTCCGATTAAAAAAACTCGCGTATTTCATGCCATCACTACCAAGCAAGGTAGTGTCCTTTTTTAAAAAAATAAAGTTTTTATTTATACAACAAGAAAAAAGAAAAAAAACACAAATACCAAATTACACACAAATTACAAAAATAACCATAGTCACCTAATTTTCTTAGCAAACAATAAAACATCTATTGGTCTTAACACTAAAGACCCAACCTCCCGTCTATTCCATATTTCAAATTCATATTACTTATTGCCAATACACACTTTTATCATAATTAAACTTATTGTTAATAAATCTAATTTCTTATATCTACCTTGCAACTATTACTGAAGTTCCTCAAATGCTGCGACAGAATTTAAACTACTATATTTATTTTTCAGATATTCTTTGAAAACCTCCCATTTTGAAACAAATTCCTGTTTTGATTTATTCTTTATTTTTCTGATAAACCATCTAATTCGGCATATTCTGTCAGCTTTTGGATCCAATCTTGTATAGAGGGGATTTCATTACTCTTCCATTTTGCTGTGATCAAAACTCTTGCTGCCGCTGTCGCATATAAAAAGATACCCTTCCTCTTTTGTGGAATATCCAAATCTGTTATTCCCAGGAGGTAGGCCTCTGGTTTTTTATTGAAAGAGATCTTTAGCATTTTTTGCAGTTCTGCATGTATACTCTCCCAGAATACCTGTATTTTCCTACATATCCACCACATATGGTAGAATGTTCCTGAGTCTCCGCATCTCCAACAATTACTTGACACATTTTTATACATTTTTGAAAGTTTCCATGGTGTTAGATACCATCGATGTTGCATTTTTTGAAAGTACTCTCTAAACGTGTAACAGTTTGTGAATTTCCAATTGATCTTCCATAAATTTTCCCATTGGGCCATGGTTATTGAATGGCCAAAATCCTGGGACCACCTCACCATTGCCACTGTTACCTCCTCCTCCTTGACTGTCCAGTCAAGGAGGAGTCGATAAGTTTTGGAAAGAGTTTTTCTTTTAGAATTTACAAGATCAGATTCGAATCGGGATATTTCTGTTGAGAACCCCTTTTGTTTGTCAGATTTAAATTTTTCAAATAACTGATGATATTGGAACCAGTCTGAAATGTGTTCTCTTATTTCCTCAAAGTTTTTTAATTTTATTTGGTTATCTTCATTTTTTAGAAGTATTTTATATGTTGGCCAGCTTTCCTGAGTATTTTTCCGTTTTACTGCTATGGCTTCTATTGGAGAAGTCTACCACGGGGCTTTAGGCTCCATCAGGTCTTTATATTTTTCCCATACAGCAAAGAGTGACTTTCTTATTATATGGTTGGTAAAAATTTTATGAATTTTCGCTTTTCCATATATCAGGTAGGCGTGCCATCCCCAACGATTGTCAAAACCTTCCAGGTCCAGGAGGTCCGGATCCTGCAATGTGCACCAATCCTTTTAGCCAGGTGAAACAGGCTGCCTCGTAGTAAAGTTTTAGGTCGGGTAGGGAAAAGCCTCCTCTCTCTTTTAAGTCTATTAAGATCAGGTGTTTAATCCTAGGTTTCTTCCCTTCCCACAGGAATTTGGAAATTTCTCTTTGCCATATCTTGAGACAACCTGTCAAGTAAGGTAGTGTCCCATTGTTCCGCTGTCTAGTTAACATGGGTTTAATCTTTTCAACCTTTGCTTGAGAGATAACAAAGGCTTTTTCCTTAGAATTCTAACATTTAGACCAGTCCTTGCACTCAACTTCCCATTACATTGTGCCATGTCATCTTGTATACACCCAGATGATTTTCTTCTGTCATGTACGCACAGTCTCTCCACTCGTCCATCGTCACTTGCCTTTGTACACATTCCCTGCTTTAACAAGTCTGATTTTGTAGTGACTGAGTCTCCTTATACCTCTTCAAAAATATAGAAAGGCCAACTTTGGTTAAGTTTCCCCCAATCTCTCTTCTAATTTCTCCATAACTGTAGCCTTCTTCACTTAATAGTACACTCTTACTCACTTTCTGGGGACCAGTCAACTCTTTGTGCCATTTCTATAATTTTACTATGTTTTACACCTTCACTAAATGAAAGAACACACAAAACCAACCAACTTGATAGCAATCACATAACACACTGACAAAAGTCAACCTAAGCAAGTTGTGCTTTCTTTCTGGTTATTTGGCTATACTTTTGATAGAATACGGGTAATTGAACAAACTTTGTTGGATTGCAATCTCGATTGCATTCTTGATCGAATTATCTTTCCACTGATATATAATTTTATGACATTACTCCAAATGAAGTGGTGTTATGAGCCAGCAAACCTCTGAAATACCGTATTTTTCGCCCTATAGGACGCACTTTTTCCCCTCCAAAAATGAAGGGGAAATGTGTGTGCGTCCTATGGGGCGAATGCAGGCTTTCGCTGAAGCCTGGAAGGCGAGAGGCTTCAGGAGAGCCGCAGCGATAGCCCCACAAGGTCGGGGACAGCGGGGAGGCGGAACGCCGCCATCCCGCTGTCTCCCGATGTGGTTTGGAGGCTGACAGCGGGGAGGCGCGTGCTTCTCCGCGCCGCCAGCCCCGCAAGCTCCGGGGACAGCTGGGAGGTGCAGCGCGTCTTCCCGCTGTCCCCGGACCTGGTCTGCAGGCGGGCGGCGGGGAGAGGAGCGCTTCTCCCCGCTGCCTGCCCCGCAAGCTCCGGGGACAGCTGGGAGGCGCAGCGCGTCTTCCAGCTGTCCCCAGACCTGATCTCAAGGCGGGCGGCGGGGAGAAGAGTGCTTCTCCCTGCTGCCTGCCCTGCAGCGCGTCTTCCTGCTGTCCCCAGACCTGATCTCAAGGCGGGCAGCGGGAAGAAGAGCGCTTCTCCCCGCTGCCTGCCCCGCAAGCTCCGGGGACAGGTGGGAGGCGCCGCGCGTCTCCCCGCTGTCCCCGGACCTGATCTCAAGGCGGGCGGCAGGGAGAAGAGCGCTTCTCCCCGCCGCCTGCCCCGTAAGTGCCTGGGGGAAATAAAATTATTTTCTTTATTCCCCCAAAAAACTTGGTGCGTCCTATGGGCCGGTGCGTCCTATGGGGCAAAAATACGGTACACTTTTTTCCAAAAGTCTTCCACAATTTTGACCACTACTGTATATCAAACAAAGCAACATTCAACAACTCATCAGACTCTCATAATAAATATGTTGGTTAATGACAAAAAACACAGGTAATGAACACATACCCAACTCCCTTCAGTTCTTTTCCATTTGTTCCCAAGGCTCTAATCCCTTTTTTGTCTCCATTGCAGATTGTGATGAATTGGAAATTGAGAGCAAAGGTGACAACGAAAAATTCCCCAGAGAGGAGAAGCCACACAAAAATTTGGAGTGTGGAGAAAGCTGCAGTCAGAGCTCCCATTCCACTTCCCATCAACAAAATCTCATTGAAAAGAAACTCTATCAGTGTATGGAATGTGGAAAGAGCTTCAGTCAGAGCTCCGATCTCACTTATCATCAAAGAATTCATACAAGGGAGAAACCCTATCAGTGTGTGGAATGTGGAAAGAGCTTCAGTCAGAGCTCCGATCTCACTTATCATCAAAGAATTCATACAAGGGAGAAACCCTATCAGTGTGTGGAATGTGGAAAGAGCTTCAGGAAGAGTGCCCATCTCACTTCCCATCAAAGAATTCACACAGGGGAAAAACCCTTTCAGTGTGTGGAATGTGGAAAGAGCTTCACTCACAGCCACAGTCTCACTTCCCATCAAAGAATTCATACAGGGGAGAAACCCTATCAGTGTGTGGAATGTGGAAAGAGCTTCAGTCAGAGCTCCGATCTCACTTCCCATCAAAGAATTCATACAGGGGAGAAGCCCTATCAGTGTGTGGTATGTGGAAAGAGCTTCACATGTAGCTCCTCTCC